GGTAGTAGGTAGTAGTAGTAGTGGTAGTAGTAGTAGTAGTAGTAGTAGTCGTAGTAGTAGTAGTAGTAGTTGTAGTAGTAGCAGTAATAGTAGCAGTAATGGTTGGATAAGTAACAGAAGCCGTAGTAGTAGTAGTAGTACTAGTAGTATTAGTTGTAGTAGTTAGTACTACTAGTCGTAGTAGTAGTGCAAGTAGTAGCACTAGTAATAGTAGTAGTAGTAGTAGTAATAGTAGTAGTAATAGTAATACTAACCGCCGTAGTACTAACAGCAGTAGTGGTAGTAGTAGTAATATTAATAATCGTGGTAATTGTAATACTAGTAAGTAGTAGTTGTGATAGTAGTAGAAGTAGTCGTAGTCGTGGCCGAAGTAGTTGTAGTAGTTGTTGTAGTGGTAGCAGTACTCGTAGAAGCAGTGGTTGTAGATGTCAGAGGTCGTAGTTGCAGCAGCACAGTAGCAGTAGTATTAGTAGTAGTAGTAGTAGCAGTAGTAGTAGTAGGAGTAGTAGTAGTAATAGTACAGAATGAAAGAAGTAGTAGCAAGAGTAACACTTGCATTAGCACCAGTGATCGTAGCAGTAGTAGGGGTATTACTGCTACCATTGATAGTACCAGTACCAGTCGCAGTAGCAGTCGTAGCAGTAGTAGTAATAGTAGTGGTAGTAGTAGTAGTAGTAGAAGAAGAAGTAGTAAGAGTAGTAGTTATGGTAGTCGTCATCGTCGTCGTCGTGGTGTTAGTAGTCGCGATAGCACTAGAAGTAGAAGTCGCAGTTGTAGAGATAGCAGTAGCAATTGTAGCACGTGCTGTAGTAATGGCAACAATCGTAACACTAGGAGTGGTAGCCGTGGTCGTAGTGAGATTCGTACTAGTAGCAGTAGCACTAGCAGTAGTAGTAGTAGTAGTAGTAGTCGTCGCCGTAGTAGTAGTAGTAGTAGTAGTAGTAATAGCAATCGTGGTAGTATAGTAGTCCTAGTAGCAGTGGGACAGTAGTAGTAGTAATAGTACTCGTAGTAGTAGAAGTAGTAGCAGTGGTAGTAATAGTAGTAGTAGTCGTCGTCGTCACCGTAGTCGTAGTAGTAGTAGTAGTAGTAGTTAGTAATAGTAGTAGCCGTAGTATTTGTAGTCGCAGGAGTAGTAGTAGTAGTAGTAGTAGTAGTAGTAGTAGTAGTCGTGATGGTGGCAATAGTAGTAGTACGAATAGTAGTAGTAGTAGTAGTAGTAGTAGTAGTCGTAGTCGTAGCCGTAGTCGTAGTCGTAGTCGTAATAGTAGTAGTAATAGTAGTAGTAGTGGCAGCAGTAGGAATCGTAGTAGTAGTAGTAGTAGTAGTAGTAGATGTGGTAGTAGTAGTAGCAGTCGCAGTAGTAGTAGTAGTCGTAGTAGTAGTAGTAGTAATAGTAGTAGTAGTAGCAATAGGAATACGAATGGGAGAAGTCGTCGCTGTAGCCGCAAGAGTAATACTAGTAGTAGTAGTAGTAGTAGTAGTAGTAGTAGTAGTAGTAGTAGTAGTAAAAGTAGTAGTAGTAGTAATAATAGTAGTAGTGGTGGTGGTAGTAGTAGTAGTAGTAGCAGTAGCAGTAGTAGCGGTCGTACTAGTAGTAGTAGTAGTAGTAGTAGTAGTAGTAGTAGTAGTAGTACTAGTGGTACTAGTAGTGGTAGTGGTCGTCGTATCAGTAGTAGTAGTAGTAGTAGTAGTAGTAGTAGTAGTAGCCGTAGTAGTAGTAGTAGTGGTAGTAGTAGTGGTCGTAGTCGTAGTAGTAGTAGTAGTAGTAGTAGTAGTAGTAGTAGTCGTAGTAGTAGTAGTAGTAGTAGTCGTGGTAGTAGTAGCCGTAGAAATAGTAGTGGTAGTAGTAGTAGTAGCAGTAGTCGTAGTAGTAGTAGTAGTCGTGATGGTGGCAATAGTAGTAGTAGAGGTGGTAGTAGCAGCAGTAAGACTCGTAGTAGTAGTAGTAGTGGTAGTAGTAGTAGTAGTAGTGGTAGTAGTAGTAGTAGTAGTAGTAGTAGAGGTAGTAGTAGTAGCAGTAGCAGTAGCAGTAGCAGTAGTAGTAGTAGTAGTAGTAGTAGTAGTAGTGGTAGTAGCAATAGGAATACGAATAGGATAAGTCGTAGTTGTAGTCGCAAGCGTAATACTAATAGTATTAGTAGCAGTAGCAGTAGTAGTAGTAGTAATAATACTAGTGGTAGTAGTAGTGGTAGTAGCCGCCGTATCAGTGGTAGTAGGAGTAGTAGTAATAGTAGTAGTAGTCGTAGTAGTAGTAGCCGTAGTAGTAGTAGTAGTAGTAGCAGTAGTAGTAGAAGTAGTAGTAGTAGTAGTCGTAGTAGTAGTCGTAGTAGTAGTCGTAGTAATAATAAGAGTATCGTAGTAGTAGTAGTAGTAGAAGTAGTAGTAGTAGTAGTAGTAGTAGGAGTAGTAGTAGTAGTAGTAATAGTAGTAGTAGTAGTAGTAGCAGCAGTAGTAATAGTCATAGTAGCAGTAGTAATGGTGGTAGTAGTAGTAGTAGTAGTAGTAGTAGGAGTAGTAGTAGTAGTAGTAGTAGGAGTAGTGGTGGTAGTAGTAGTAGTAGTAGTAAGAGTAAGAGTACTGAAATTATCATACCATGTTGGATGGACATACGTATGTATGTATGGATGTATATATATATATATATAGATGTGTGTGTGTGTGTGAAATCCCGGACCCCCCCCGGGACAATCCAGAGAACCCTTCCGAAATGGAGACCGCAAATGCCCTAGCATGCGTGTGTGGCCAACGGTTGAGCGAGAGCACCGTGTAGCCTGCGCGCTGGAAAGAGCACCTGTCTCGCTCAGGCGACGACAGCGCTCAGGCGAGAGCGACATCCAGTGCTCGGGCGACAGCTCACTTCCCAATCGAGAGTGCAGTCAGCGCGCAGGCGACAGCTCCACTCCCGTTCAGAGTTGCGAGGATGCCTCTGGCGAAACTGGCTGCACCACCTCAGATCATTTCAGAATTGCCAGGATCTCTCAGGCGAAACTGGCCGGACGCTGAGGAAAGAGGAAAAGGCTGAAGGCTGAAGAATGAGGAGGCCCTGGAGAAAGCTTGGGTAGGATTGCGCCTGGACAACCACTGGACAAACCCATGGGAAACCCGATTGACAACCCCGTTGACAACCCCCCGGACAATCCCCTCGAGAATCCGAGGTGCGGGGGAGACGCCCTGCATGTCCTTGTATTGTGGGTCGCCAGTGGCTCTCTTCTCTCACACCACCTGAGGTCAGGGCATCTCTGAGACCAAGGTTGCGAGGACGGACCACCTCGTGGGCGGCATCGCTGAGCTCAGACCTGCGAGGACATTGCAGGCGAAACGGGCAAGAACACCTCAGATCTAGGCATGCGTGAGCCCAGCATTACGAGGATGTCTCAAGCGAAAATGGCAAGACAACCTCCACATTTTGAGCATGTTTCTGTGCGCTGGTCCCGCGGCTGGAAGTAGCTCCTACAACTACAGGTCTCCAGCCAGCAACGCTTCGTGGGGAACAACGACCAATGAAGATGTGCGAGCGGGAACGGAAAGACGCGAGAGAGGAGGAACGAACAAGAGTGGAAGGAGGAGAGAGAGGCGCCCTTTCCAGCTGGGTTTGACTGGATGCGCCATGCTTCTGATGATATGGATGATTAAGGCATGTGCGTGCGCTGGCAAACTGGCACGGCCCCGACAACCCTTTGGACAACCCCGCGAGGAGCCAGACACCCCCCCGGACAACCCTCCCCCGAATTTACTCCATACATCATAGTAGGGAGGAGGCAGGGAGGGAGGAATGAGGGGCGAGGGGGTTCGAACAAAAAACCTTTCACATTCAATTTTAAACTACAAGTAATCCAGGAAGGTTTTCAAGTCCTCGTTGGGGGTGTCATGCCAGGGGTTTCAGGCGATAGTATGCGCTGAGTAAAAAATATGTTGGCGAAGGACCCAACCACATGCATTTGAGGGTACCGCTGGTGTGAGAACCGCCATCGGTGGAGCTCACGACGGAGCCGCAAAATGCGTGAAGAAACGCAGAAGTAGGGCGGGGCCGCCAATGCGGGCGCTGCCGCTGGGGCAGCCCGCATGGGGGCGCGAAGGTCAGCCGCAACGGGGTGTGCCGAAATGAGGGGTTGGCGGCATGCGGGCGCAGCCACCAGGGCCTTAGGTGGAGCTCCCGATGGTGCCACGAAACGTGTGAGGGGTGTGCCAAACTCAGCGGGCGCCGGCATGCGGGCGCAGCCATTGGGGCCTTGGGTGGTGGAGCTCCCTATGGGGCCACGAAGCGCGTGAGGGGTGTGCCGAAATGAGGGTGTGGCGGCATGCGGGCGCAACCACTGGAGCCGTAGGTGTAGCTTCCTATGGGGCCACGGAGCGCGTGAGGGGTGGTCCAAAATGAAAGCGTGGCGGCATGTGGGCGCAACCACTGGGGCCGTAGGTGTAGCTTCCCATGGGGCCACGAAGCGCGTGAGGGGCTTGCGAAAATGCAGGGATGGCGGCATGCGGGCGCAGCCACTGAGGTTTTAGGTGGAGCTCTCTATGGGGCCACGAAACGTCTGAGGGATGTGCCGACATGAAGGGGTCGCGGCATGCGGGGGTAACCCCCGGACCCCTCTGGTCGCGTCCTGGCTTGAATTTCCAAGGGAATCGAGCCGTGGCGACGAAACGTGCATCAACAGCTCGACCCTCGATCCTTGAACCTCAATTCCTTAATAACGATGGACTCCGCTACTCCGTCCTCCAACAGCAAATATCTTCTGCTAGATCTTCGTGGGAACCGTCAAGAGCTAGTAGACCAGATTGAGGGGCCTTTTTGAACCGGATCAGCCCAGACTGAGCCCGGGAGAAGGCCCGACTGAGCCAGCTCCGGTGGGATTGGGCAGTACGGGGCTATGCCAGACTTCGACCACAGATGAATCAACGCCGATGCTGAGCTCAACCTCCCAGGAGTTGCGATCCGACCTCCCTGCCACCTGCGCAAGACCAAGAGAGGACGCGGCCTGCGACTGCCCCCCAGCGGCCTCGGCCTCGGGCCGCCGCGTGGGCAGCTCCTCCACCGAGCCCACGCCGAAGGGCATCGGCTCGGGCCGCGGCGCTGGCAGCTCCTCCGCGACGGAGACGGTGCCGGCCTGAGCGCGCGGAGCGCTCGCCCGGTCGCCAAGTCACCCAACGATCTGATTTTTTCAACCAGCGTTTTTTACTCGATATCGGCCCTCGGGTCTCATTTTCAGGCCCTGAGGCATCACAAGGGGGTCCGGGGCGAAAAACTAGCCACGGGGAATCGGTCCGGACCTCTAGGGCCGCGGATTGGAACAATCATTTCAAAGGATGTCTGGGTTTGTTCCATAGGTCACCCAATTTCGTGCATGGCAATCCGCGATGCGTGACGCGCGACTATCTTCGCGCCTTCGCGCGACCCCCCCTGGATAAGGGCAGCCGCTGTAGCCCGGATCGGGGACGTGCTGAGCGTGATTGTCTTCGTGCCCCGGCGGGTGACCTACAGGTTCGGGGGGTGGGAGGCTGGGCGGCGGGGTAGGGCGGTGGAGAGTCTGGCAAATCAGTGCGGCAGGCTCGCGTCGTGGCAACGTCGGCGTTGGTTTCTGACACAGCGTGAACGGCTCAACCCTGAGGGATCGCGGCCCTCCAGTGGCGCAGAGCGTTCGGTACTGGCCGATTCCCTGCCACTGGCGGCGTTCAACCTTGAACGCCTGCGGCGTGGTCGCCGCCACGTCGACGCGACACGAACCTACCGAGCATGATGCAGAGGTCGTGCACGGCCCGGCCCAGAAGCATCACATGCAGATCACAGTGCATGATGATGATGACGATGACGATGCTGATGCTGATGCTGATGATGATGATGATGATGATGATGATGATGATGATGATGATGATGATGACGATGAGAATGATGATGACCATGACGATGACGATGACGATGACGAAGACGATGTTGATGATGATGATGATGTTGATGATGTTGATGATGATGATGATGATGGTGGTGGTGCTGCTGCTGCTGCTGCTGGTGATGATGAGGTCGCCCACGCTTGGTTCGCCAACTCGTCGACACGACGCAAACCTACCTTAGGACGGTCTGAGGGCCCGGCGAGGCCCCCCCCCGAGGCCGAAAGGGCGAAAAACCTGACAGCGCGGCTTTTTCACGACGCGATGGAGTCTGGGTCCGTGACAGCCTGATCCCAGGAACGCGCGGCCAGCGACGGCCCCATCGGAGGTGGGCGCCTGGCGCAGTCATGGACCGTCTGCGGCAGGCTGCGGCAGCTTCACCTCCCTCCTCCTCCTCCCTCCTCGCCTTGAGCCTCCTCCACGAGCGTCCTCCTCGAACCCACCCTTTCCTCAGAGCGTCCTCGGGCATCCTCCCCGTCCTCCTCCCCCTCCTCGCACAGATTGGCCCCCCCGTCTCTGAGCGTGCCAGAGCTATCGGCCTTCCCCCCCCCCATTCCCGCCCCGCGGACGACCAGCAGAGGCCCCCAGCGCGGCAGCGCCTTCGGCACAGCGGCGGCGCTGTGCCAGCAGCCGCGGACACCGAGCCACACCGAAGGCGGCGAGTGGCCACCGGGGGCCTCCTCCAGCCGCTGCGTCCCCGCCCCTGGAGGGACAAGGAAATGTCGATACCGTTGCTCCGCGGACTCTTCCCGTGGAGCGGTCTGGCCAAGACTTCGAAGAGTATCCACCGGTGGCGACGAGGGCCCTCTGGGACGGGCCAGCGGTGCCGGTACTCCGGATTCCATGATAAAGTGTGTGCGTGTGGGGGGGTACATTGGGGTGGGGTCTGATTTGAGCTGTCTTAGAGGGTTCGAGGGCGTCTGGGCAAAAGGCCGTCCTTTCATGGCTCGTCTGGGGGGTCTAGATCCGCTCGTCTGGGAGGCTTGTGACCCCCTTCTAATTATCCTTTTCATTATGCAATCTGGAATGCCTTTTCCTCCTCTGAGCCCCTGTGTTTCGGGCGGGTGGTCATGGGGGGTGACGTAAGTGGGGGTGAAGAGAAGGGCTTGGCCCCCGCTGGCTCCAAAGGGGACCCAGAGGGCTCCTTAAAGGCCATTTTCTTCAACCCCCCATTTAGGGCAACCCCCGTTGCCACCCGCCCGAGTGCTCCCTCCGAAACCCGCCCCCCGACCCTTCTCACATGCCGGCGCCTTCGCCTTCCCCCTGGGGCTCCCATCGCCGCATCCGCGGGCGAGGGTCGGCATCACACCCAGCGCAACCCCCCTCCTCCCTCCTCCCCCCCTCCTCCCTCCTCCCTCCTCCCTTCTCCCTCCTCCCTCCTCCCTCCTCCCTTCTCCATCCTCCCTCCTTTCTCCTCTATCACCCTCCCTCCCTCCCTCCTCCTCCTCTTCCTCCTCGGGGGTATCGGCCTCCCGGTGCGTGGGCAGCTCCTCCGCGCTGGCGACGGTGCCGGCCTGAGCGCGCGCGGAACGCGCGCGCGCGCCCGTCTGGCGGGCAGGCGGGGCGACGGCGGGAGCAGCGGGGCCCAGGTGGAGGCGACGCCCCCGGTGGCGCATCCTGGCGCGGCCGTCTGCACCGAGGCCTCCCGAAGGAGGCCAGAGAAAATTGGGATCCGCATCGACTCATTTGGGAGGCCTAGAGAGGCGCAGGCGAGGGGGGGAAGCGAGGAGGGGGCGGGCCTTCTCAGGAACCTCGGGAGTCCTCTTGCCTGCCGAGAAGTCTTCTGAGCCTTCGCTGAAGACACGGACAACCTCCCGAAGGCGCGAGGGCGTCTGAGAAGTCCCGCCGCCTTCTGAGCAGGCCTTCTCACCTCCCCCCTCCATCGTCTCTTCTCGCCAACGCGCTCCGGCGTATGGCTTGACTGACTGACTAGATGGGGTCCGAGTAGATGGGGTCGGAGGATCGCGCCGCATCGCCGATACATCGGCGATGCATCGGCGATGCATCGGCGACGTCGGCGATGCATCGACGCGTCGGCGTGGAGAAAATCGGGCTCCGCATCGAGCCGCATTGCCAGTGCATCGGCGATGCGGCGCGATCCTCAAATCCCATCTGCTCTGACCCCCATCTTGGAGGCCTAGCTTGGAGCCCCCCCCCACCACATGCCAATGCCCTCCCCCACACCACCTCGAGTCGTGACAGAACTACCGACGCGCGGCTTTCGGTTATTTTCGGCCCCTGGGGGCCCTTGCCGGCCCCGGGACCGTCAAACAACGACTCGGGATGAAAATCTGTCCCGGGGAAAGGGTCGAGACCTCCAGCCCACCGGGGTCCACGCTGTGAAAAAAAAACGCCGTCGGGGCCACTGCACTCCACCATGATGGCCTCAAGAAGCCAACGCGTCATCGTCGTCGTCGTCGTCGTCGTCGTCCCACCAGGGTCGGCGGCACCGGCCGTAAGGCCGGCCTTCGCAATCACGTAGCCGGGACCACCGCACTGCTCCATACGCTACCCGCGTTGAAGACCCCGCGAAGCCCTCGACAGCAGCCAGGCTGCCTCTTGCACGAAATGCTCCCTCCGCGCGTCGCCAGACGAAGGGGGGCTCCTCAGATTCTTCCTACGTCTTCCTCCTATCCCTCCCCCCCCCACCCTCCTCTCCCTCCCCTCCTCCCTCCCCCTCCTCCTCCTCCTCCTCGGCCTTCTCCTCCTCCCGGGGGTTCTCGGCCTCCCGCCGCGTGGGCAGCTCCTCCACGCTGGACACGGTGCCGGCCTGCGCGCGTGCGGATCGCGCGCCCGTCTGCCAGGAGGGGAGCAAGGCGGCGGGGACCTATCCAGATCCACCGCCTGGGGAAGCGACATCCTGGGGCCCAACGGGGCGGTGGACATGGATATGGTTTGGCCCCAAGGGGGGGCCCGAATGTGTCCCTATCCACAGCCCGCCGAGATCCCCGAATACCGGTCCTGGGGCGGTGGTTATGGGTGAATCCCCACTTTGGAAGAATGAAACACGAAGTGGGGTGAGCGAGCGAGGGGCGGAAACATGACAGATAACTATTCCGGCCAGTCTTCTGATTTGCAAGGGGACCAAGTCCGAACTGACAGAAGCAACGCGATACGAGGTTCCTGGCAAAACGTGGCTGGCAACGGCTCTTCGGAGGTGACCGTCTGGCTTGGGGGGATGACGATTACGAAAAGAAGGTGGAAGAACGATTAACAAAATAAGGTCCGAATCTTCGGCTTCAGCTTCGCTTCGGCTCTGTCTGGCCCGTCGACCGTCGAGCGGGTGCCCGTTGGGGGGGACGGTTCAAATACAGGTTCTCAGCCCGGCATTTCTAATCATCATCCCCAGCGCCGCCGTGTGAACAGGACCCCTGGTAAATTCTGAATCATCATCCTGCGCTACCGCACCAGCAACGCAGCGTTGACTATTGGCAGCAGCCGTGGACACCAGACCACGACCGACTGGCGGCGGCAACGACAGAGCGGCGAAAGTCCAGCACGGGCCCGAGCGGAGGATGGCCGCCGCAGCAGCAGAGCAGCGGCCAAAAGCGGCTGGCCAACGATGGAGCAGCGAACTTGGCAGCGCGCGCCAGGGAATGGAGGGAGGAAGGGGAGAAGACGTCGACTACGCGTTGGAGTTACCCTAGTCTGAATGACCTGTGGTGCGCGGTTTCAGGTGTGCCTGCGGGGGCCCAGCGCAATCGCGAAAGCTGGCGTTGCCGCGCCGCATCAACTATCGGCGGGGCGCCGCTCGAAAGATTTGTTGCGCCAGCGGGCAAGTGCGAAATTCCGCCGATTGAATTCGAGCGCCCCGAATGGCTTTTCGAAGGGCCTGCGAAAGCAGACGCTGCGGGGGCCACCGCGATGAGGTCTTGCACTGCCGGGCTGTATCGCGATGCCGTCTGACCAAGCCCGGCGCCATGGCCAAAACCAACCCCAACCCAAAGCCCGGAATATGTTTGAATATCTTTGGGTAGCTTATACGAGTAAAGATCCACTTTGGTTCGAAAACTATATGCACAGCTATTCAAATATATTCAAAGATATCCAATGAGATTCGAGCCATACGTTTTGGGATTCGGGGTGGGATTCGGGACTGGTCCTGGGCCGGGAAACGCGCCTTCTGGTCGACCGGCTCCCCCACGGGCACCCAATGCGAACTGTAGGGTTCGACGCGTATGCGTCGCTGTCGATTGCAAGGGGCGGGCCCAACCCTGGCGCGCTCAGATGCGAGCATAATCGCGAGATGCGGGTGCCGACGCGATGTCAAGCTCATTCCACAAGAAAAATCTCCCGACACCCTTTGGGCCAGCGCCAAGGGTCAATCTGGCAAAGGGTCATTCTTACGAGTAGTCGAAGACTTCTTGCAAGGAGGCTGCTACTCAGAAGGCGCCGGCCCTACATCAACAGATGAGGCCCGCGCCGTCTGCGAAGCAAGAGGGTTTCTGAGAAGCCCTTCCCCTCTCACCCTACCTCCCTCTGCGAGTGGCTGGCGATTGTCTACCCAGTCCCTTGTGGAAGAAATGCAACCAGCCCGCGGACCTCCGAACTCCCCCCACCAGTACGTGAAGGACTGCTGCCTGCTCCTCACGGGACGGTGGAAGCGGGGTCGCAGTGCGCGCGGCCCTACCAAGAGGCCTCCCGGATGAGGTCGGAGTAGATCGAGTCGTAGGATTCCGCCGCATCGTCGATGCATCACCGATGCATCGGCGACGCATCGGCGATACATCGGCGACGTCGCTGATTCATCGGCACCGTCGGCGTGGAGAAAATCAGGCTCCGCATCGAACCGCATCGTCGGTGCATCGTCGCATCCTCCGACCCCGTCTGCTCTGATCCTGTCTGGGAACCTAAGAGGCCAAGCGAACTTGAGCACATGTCCCTCTATTACTCGCGACATAACCCCTGGGACCGGCCCCGCCAGCAGCGAGATCCCGAAATCTGCTATCCTCCAACCTTGCCAGACGGCGCCAGCGCAGATCGTGGCGTGACTGACCCCCTCCCGCCCCCCACCCCTGGCCACGCCTGTTAACAAACATGTCTCCTTGGCCTGCGCCATGCGCTCTCTCTCTCTCTCTCTATATATATATATATATATAACAGCCCAACCGCTCTCCTTCACGTCACCAATCCTTGCGCTCTCCGACCGCTCTCCTCCGCGCACTCCCTGGGAAAACCAAAGAGTACCGATCCTCCTCCGGGGTGGGTCCAGACAAGGATCTCGAGACGAACCCATCCGTGGCGGCGTGGGCCTCCCAGGAGGCCTCTCTGTCTAAAGACGAACCACGCTGAAAGGCCAGCAGCATCGGCACCTCCCCAGACATGGCTTGTCTTCGGTTTTTCAATGTCGGGGGCGGCAAAGAGGGGGGTGTCCAAGAGGAGGGGGTGCAAATCATGACCGGCGGCATGTGCGCGGCCCAGTGGGGGGGCCAGGGACGTAATGAAATAAGAAGAGGCGCCATGAGATCTGGGGAGATATCATGGCCCCCGCCATGATATCCATCCCCCCCTAATCATCACCCACCTCTTTTCCGCCCCCGACAATGCGCGGATCCCGAAATCCCGACCCGTTCCCCGGGGCGTGGCCTGCGCAGTGCGGGCGCAGGGGCGGCTCTCCGCCGCCGCCCGCGCCGCGCCGCGCGCGGCCCGCACGGCGCGACGCACGGCCCGAACTACTTCCGAAGGCCTCCGGGGATCCTCCGAGAGGAGGAGGAGGAGGAGGAGGAGGAGGAGGAGGAGGAGGAGGAGGAGGAGGAGGAGCCCCTTAGTGAAAACGGCCTGGGGCCGAAATCGACGGACCTGGACCCGCAAAAATGACGGCCGCGACGCCCTCTCGCGAACCGAAAACGGCCAACTCCTCAATCGGCGTGTCAGGGTAGGAGGTCTATCCACCTCCGACTCAGAGAGACACAGGAGGCCACGGAAAAGACGGGCCACACGGGGCGTGCCCTCGGCACCCTCCCCCCGCGCACCGCCGCGGGCGCGGGGCGTCGGCGGCCTGGGCTTCCGCTCGCGCGGGCAGCGCCCCCGACGCCAGAGCGGACGCGCCGGTCGGACGGCGAGGGAGCTCGGCCACACGCAGGAGTGACCCTGGGTAAGAGCGACCTTCGGTGCGCGGCTTCTTGGGGGCCGCGGGGGGCCAGACCTGGGCGCGCAGGCCGCTGCTCCTGCTCCGTTTCCAGCCATCTGTTTCCTGCTCCTGCTCCTGCTCCTGCTCCGTCTCCAGCCATCCGGGGACCCACCCGTGCCCGCACCAAGGAGGTCACTCCGGCAAGAGGTCCCTCTCTTACGTCTCGTCGGCGAGCGCGGAGCAGCCCTCCGGGGACCCACCCGTGCCCGCACCAGGAGGCCCCTCCGGCAAGAGGTCCCTCTCTTACGTCTATCGTCGGGGAGCGCGGTGGGCCCGGCGGAGGAGCTCGGGGCGGAATTCGGGTCGGGCGAGAGGGGGGGGATGGCAGAGGGGGGGCTTGAGAGTCAGCTCGCGCAGCTGAGCTTCCCGGCGCCGGAGGCGGCGAATGCGGGATGACGATTGATAAAAAATGGGAGAGAACGATTAACAATAATAGTTTTCTGCTGTATCTGCACAAGTTTCTGACTGGAGGAGAACAATTAAAACCAATAGTTTTCCAGCCCGCGGCCAATTTTTTCTAATCGTCATCCAGGGCGCCGCCGCGTGAACACCACCCCCGGTCATTTATCGAGGAATGGGCCCCTCGGTGAGGCCGAAGCCAGCTGCATGCAGCAAATATCGTACCCTCCTCTCGCACGGCCCGCGTGGTCCAGGAGGGGGGCATCCGAGGGGTGGGGTCGCAGATCGCGGCCCGAGGCATCTGCGCGGACGAGGGGGGGGGGCGGGTGGCGCCTTGGAAGAAGAAGGACGATCAGAGTGGCAAGAAGACGAGGAGAAAGTGAGACCCGGTGCGATCTCATGGCCCCGGCCATGGCATCCCTCCTCCCCGACCCATCGGATGGAAGAAATGAGTAGAACATGAGGTAGGAAGGCTTTGGAAGTACATTTGGATCTCCGCCAACCCCCTGAGGACGAGAAAGGAGGGAACGCCACTTGCAACGACCGCCGCTTGCCGAAAATGCAAAGCAAAAGCGTGTGAGCTGATTGGCTGTCCCGCTCCCTCTTCTACCCCTCCCCTGAGGTCCAATACTCGAGACCCGCGGGGGGGGGACTTGCAAGCATATCCAGGCCCAAAACGGCTACAACAAAAACACAGATCGTCATGCAAGACATTCCTGCCCCTGCCTCGCCCTAGCAATCTCCATGGGCTCCTCACTTCGTCTGGGGGCTGGCGGAACGGCGGAAGCCCGTTGATCAACTTGTTCCTGCTCTCAACCCGGCGGCGAGCGAGGGGGGAAGTGAGAAGGAGAAGGCTTTCTCAGAAGGTTCGGAAGTCCCCCGGCCTTCTGGGTCATTTTCTGAGCCTTCCCCGAAGACCAACACAAACTCCTCAGAAGGCGCGAGGGCTTCTGAGAAGTCCTGCCGCCCTCTCATTCTCACTTCCCCCCTCGCTCGCCGCCGATCGACGACCAGTGGGTAATTTTGGAGTCCCGAAGCGGTGCGGTGACAGACCGTGCAGTGACCTCGGAAACCCAAGAGACCTCACCGCACGGTCCGTCACCGCACGGTTTTGGGACCCTGGAGGCCCCTGTCGCCCGAGACGTCCTCGGAGAGTGACTCGAGTCCCAAAACCGTGCGGTGACCCCGAGTCCCCACCGACTCACCGCACGGTGTGGCCACCACCCCGTTGGGGGGCCCCCGAGTTATCCTCAGCTCCTCCTTGGACGCCCCAGCTCCCCGGGCCTCCCCCCGCACGCACACAGCCCGCGGACGAGGGGCGTGGGCGGCCGGGCCTCCCGCCGCGCGGGCAGCTCCTCCACGCTAGAGACGGTGCCAACCTGACGGCGCAAAGCGTGTGCGTCGTCGTCGTCCTCCTCCTCCTCTTCCTCCTCCTCCTCCTCCTCCTCCTCCTCCTCCCTCCTCCTCCTCCTCTCCTCCTCTGTCCTCCTATTCCTCCTCCTATTCCTTCTCCTCCTCCTCCTCCTCCTCTCCTCCTCCTCCTCCTCCTTCCCCTTCCTCCTATCCCTCCTATCCCTCCTATCCTCCTATCCTCCTATCCTCCTATCCTCCTCCTATCCTCCTCCTCCTCCTCCTCCTCCTCCTCCTCCCCCTCCTCCTCCTCCTCCTCCTCCTCCTCCTCCTTCTCCTCCCTCTCCTCAGCGCGCCAGATTAGTTCGGAGAGTGATTTCCTCCTCCTCCGCCTTCTCCTCAGTTCTATGCTACGGGGCGCGCTGCGGATGGTAAAACCAAGCAATGGTGTGCCTCGGAGAAGGAATAAGACGAGGCCAGGACCAGAACGAAATCGGACGGGGAGAAATCTGGGATCTCCGAGGTCCGGAGGTTCTGGAGGACACATCGTGCGCCGCGACCATCCCATGAGCGCTCCGGGACGCTCTGAACGCGTTCTGGAGCGCTCTGGAACGATTTATCCTGGTCCTAGCCCCGCCCGAAGCGGGGCGTGGGCGAGAGCAATCAGAACCAGAGGGGGTGTGAACAGCGAGGGCCAAAGAACGGCGGCCTGGCCCGGACCGGTGGCGCGGACCTCTGCGCCGAGCCTCCTGCTCCGAGAGGATGCCAGAGGAGACCGGATCAACGTTGGGGACTATCGACGGCCCTCCGTAGGCAGGCTTCTGGCGCGGTCTCCACGAGCTTCGAATCCATTCGTATCCGCGCCCTCGTGGTCTGGATTCTGGGGCGCGCTCCCTTGGATACGCGGTCGCACGGAGGATACCTTCCGTGGGGCATCCGCGAAAAAGCACCCCATATCCACGGCGTCGCGGCCCAGGGGCCTGGACCACAAGGCCCGCGGATGTAGGCATGTTTCTCGCCCGCAAAGTCGGCAAAAGACCGTGGCAACCTGAGTCAACGGAGCCATGTTTTGGCTGATCCCACCCGCGACGTCAGTGACGGGGGGGTCGGGCCCGAGGAGTTCACGGTAACGTGGCCGGGCCCCGCGGAGGGGAGGCCTGGGCGCCGGACGACGACGAAGGCGGCAACGACGACGACGACGACGACGAGGACGAGGACAAGGACGAGGACGACGACGTGGACGAGGACGAGGACAAGGAAGACGACGACGACGACGACGAGGATGAGGACGAGGACGAGGACAAGGACGACGACGTGGACGAGGACAAGGAAGTCGACGACGACTAGGACGACGGCGTCCACCATGGAGGCCTCAGGAGGTCGGAGGAGGAGGCGTCTGGTACCCTTCGAGGTGCCCGACGACGACGACGACGACGACCACAACCCCGACGACGTCAAGGACGCCAAGGCTGACGACGACGACGAGGACGAGGACGACGACGACGAGGGCCGACGACGAGAGCCGCCTCTGAAGGTCTCCAGAGGTTTCCAGAGGCCTCAGGAGATCTGCGGAGGAGTCTGGAGGCCCTTCGAGGCCATCAGAGACAACGACGACGACAACGATGACGACGGCGACGACGACGGCGACGACGACGACGAAGGTTCTGACGACGACGGCAGCTTCTAAAGGTCTCCAGATGTCTCTGGCGGCCTCAGGAGGTCTCTGGAGGTCCTCTGATGCCTGTCGGCTCCATGACTGTAGGCATGGCGCCGTACCTGCGGGGAGTCCCCCCCCCACGTTTGCTACCGTTACGGGGGGTGGGGGGCAGACCCCGCGTAACGGACGTTTCGGGTTCAACGAATCCGCCGACCCTGGAGGCGTGTGTGAAGGGCTGTGCCGTTCGTCGTCGTCGTCGTTGCAGTGCTCTAGCGAGCTTGAGAGAAATCGACCCGTGTCGTAACCACGTCAAAAAGGAATCCCTTCCCTTTGTCCCTTCCCCGGCGGGGGGGGGGTGGTTCTGGGGGGGGGGGTCCCGGGGGGGTCCCAAGGGGGGTCCCGGGGGGGGTTGCCACCCCAATACGCTTTTACTCCCCGCGCGTCCGGCGCGGTCCCCGCGCGGTTCCAGAACCCCGCGCGGCTTCCCGGTTCCCCAAAATTTCCTCCGGAGGCGGAAAATGACGAAAGACTGGACATGTAGAACAACTCCTCCTCCCCCTCCTCCTCTTCCTCCTCCTCCTCTTCCTCCTCCTCCTCCCTCCTCTCCTCCTCCCTCCTCCTCCTCCTCCTCCAACCTCCAACTCCACGCTCCACCTCCCGCCTCCTCCCTCCTCTCCTCCTCCTCTCCTCCTCCTCCTCCTCCTCCTCCTCCTCCCTCCTCCTCCTCCCCTCCTCCCCTCCTCCTCCTCCTCTTCCTCCTCCTCCTCTTCCTCCTCCTCCTCCTCCTCCTACTGCTCACTCTGCGGACTCCGAACCCAGGCTCGAGGACCGAGGCTTTCTGGCGCCGCCGGCCCTCTCTTCGGCCACCCTCCTGCTCCTCCTCCTCCTCCTCCTCCTCCTCCTCCTCCTCCTCCTCTCCTCCTCTCTCCCTCCTCCTCCTCCTCCTCCTCCTCTCCTCTCCCTCCTCCTCCTCCCCTCCTCCTCCTCCTCCTCCTCCTCCTCCTCCCTCCTCCTCCCTCCTCCTCCTCCTCCTCTCTCCTCCCCCCTCCTCCTCCTCCCCTCCCCCTCCTCTCCAACCTCCAACTCTCCTCCGCTCCTCCCACCTCCCGCCTCCTTCCTCCTCCTCTCCTCCTCCTCCTCCTCCTCCTCCTCCTCCTCCTCCTCCTCCTCCTCCTCCTCCTCCTCCCTCCTCCTCCTCCTCCTCCTCCTCGCCTCCTCCTCCTCCTCCTCCTCATCTTCCACGGCCTCCGTCTCCGCCCACTTCGTCGCCGACCGACGTCGTGGTCCTCTTCAAGGTCGGCGGCACCGGCCGTCAAGCCTTCGCAAAAGAAACAATTTCCGTGTTTGTGGTGGTCGCGGACGAAGACCCACGGCCGAAACGCGACAGCCAAAGAGGCAGCGGCGAACGTCCGCGAAGGCGGCTGGGTGCGGCCATCAGAGGCTTGTGTTCCTTTCGGTCTGGGTCAGTGGCTGCGGCCCGCAGGCCGAAGAAGGTTTAAGCACAACGTGGGACAAGCATGATCGACTTACGAGAGATTTTCCCCCGATATGGCGCCGATGCTGCCGCCAGCGATGGCCCCACGACGGGAGACGAATAATCCCCCAGCCAAGAGTGCGGCGATGATCTGCAAGAGGCCTTCTGGAAATGCAGCACAGCCGTGGGCTGATGTGCTCCGCCCCGCAGGTCTTTCCAACTGGTCCCCTGAGCGGGGGGGGAACCAGTTCAGGGGGGGGACATCGACCTGGCTTCGGCGATACATCGCCGACAGATTGGCGATGAGCCCCCGATAGTCAAGCCCCACGTTCCTCGGCGTCAGGGGCCATCAGGCCCCCATCGGCAGTCACATGGGCGCTTGGGGGTTGCCAGACACCCGCCGACATGTCTTTGAACCCGCGGCCCCAGAAGTGGAGTCCCGACAACTTCCCCAGGGGTAGTTTTTCATCCCCGATCTTTCACTCTCTCAGGGCCCACAGATGGCCCCCGAGGAACGAAATTAGAGGAGCAACAAACTGCATAAACAGCAGCCTCCACGATGGCCCCAAGATGGCCCAAGAGACCCCAAGATGGCCCAAGAGGCCCCTAAGATGGCCCCCAGATGGCCCTAGAACTCCCACGATGGCCCAAGAGGCATCGAAGGCGGCACCAAGACGGCCCACGAGGATCTCCCGAGGGACCCAAGACGGCCTGAGAAGGCCTCTCGACGGCCGTAGGCGGTCCAACGACGGCCCCCCAGACAACTACCGGTCAAGAGAGCCCCAAGACGGCCCAAGAGAGCCCCAAGACGGCGTGCGAGAGTCCAAAGACGGCCCAAGATGGCGCCAATGAAACTCCAAGACTGCCTCACAGGAGGCCAAGACAGCATCACCACCATCAGCATCAGCATCAGCATCAGCATCAGCAACAGCATCAGCATCAGCATCATTCATCAGCATCAGCATCATCATCATCATCATCATCATCATCATCATCATCATCAGCATCATCATCAACATCAACATCGTCAACATCAGCATCATCAACATCATCAGCAGCATCATCAGCATCACCGTCATCACCACCAACATCATCATCATTAGCATCATCATCATCATTAGCATCAACATCATCATCATCAGAAGCAGCGGCATCAACATCGTCATCATCAGCAGCAGCATCATCATCATACTCAGCACCAGCACGAGTATCATCGTCAGCACCACCAATCATACTCAGCATCGTCATCGTCATCGTCATCGTCATCATCATCATCATCATCATCATCATCATCATCATCATCCTCATCCTCATCAGCATTATCATCACATCATTTGAATCAGCATCGTCGCAATCATCGTCATCACCATCAAAAGGGCCGCCATCACCATCATAATCATCATCATCATCATCATCATCATCATCATCAGCATCATCATCATCATCGCAGTCGTCGTCATCGTCATCATCATCATCATCATCAGCATCATGATCGTCATTATCATCAGCAGTATCATCATCATGATCCTCCTCATCATGCTTGTCATCATCCCCATCCTTATTCTCATCCTCATGCTCACCAGCATAATCAACATCGATCACCCACCATCCATCACCATTTTCATTATCATCAGCATATCATCATCATCATCATCATCATCATCATCATCATCATCTGCAGCATCAGCAGCACCACCATCAGTATCATCATCATCATCATCTCCAACACCATCACCATCACCACCACCATCATCACCATCATCATAATCGATAGGATCATCACCATTGCCATCATCATCATCATCAACATCATCATCATCACCAAGATCATCATCATCAGCATCGTCATCAGCATCGTCATCTCCATCACCTTCACACTCACCATCACCATCACCATCATTATCATGGTGTTCGTCTTCATCCGCACCATGAGCATGATCATGATCATAATCATAATCATGATCATCCTGATCCTTTCCCTCATCATGGCTCGCCTACCCTCTGGCGGGACTCGCCGCAGGCAGCTGGTTTTCAGGAGCAACAAACTGCACTGACATAATGCCTCTGAGGTCCCCGCGGATTTCTCGGATCGGAGCTGGACCCCTCCTCCCTGGCGCGCGGAGCGCGCCATGGGCGGCGCTGGAGGCGCCGCAAGGGATCCCCAGCGCCGATCCAAGAGATCCGCGCGGACATCCGAGAAATTATGTCTGTGCAGTGTTGTCTTCTGGGGGAAATCGAGGAAACACGCGCGGGCTGGACGAATCATATCGTCGGACATCTCGGTCTGCTCCGCCCTCTCCTGCCAACCTTCTGCGGCAGTTCATGGGAGCCTCCCACTCCATATTGCTGTCTGTTGCGAATCGATGCTAGTCGGCGCTAAACGGCGCCAGGCCGACGCTAACCAACGCTACATCCACGCTACTCGAAGCTAAATCGGCGCTTTCACCTCGACTCAACTACCAGACGCTAGCGCACGCCAATGCACCCCAAAGACGGACTTTCGAACCACCAGAGGGGTCCCACGACTTGCTACGAAATCCGCCTCACCGTTTGCCCCGTTCTTCGCACCCACCGCCCGGACAACAGCTGAGGAAGGGAAGCGGTCGGCCTCGGCTGGCCGCGCAAGCGACTCCTCCGCGCCGGAGACGGCGCCGACCTCCGCGCGATCCCCCGCGCCCGGCCGGCGAAGGAAGGGCGGAGCGGCGGCCCACCGTGAAGGGAACGGGTCCTCTGGATTTTCGCCGGGACTGGACGGTCGGGAGCTCTGGGATAGCGTGTCGCCACGGCGGCCCTGCGAAAGGCCGTGCCTTGCGGGCGGATGGCGTGCCGTTCCGCTCCGTGGGGCGGGAGACAGGGGAAAAGCTCGGGGTGTTGGCGCTGGAGGGCCAGGAAGTGGATAGCGTGCGTGCCGAAGCGCACAGGGCCCGAACCGGCGGAGCGACATGCTGTCCAGAGTTCCCGACCGTAAGAGAAAGACCTCGGATGAACAACTGGTCCTGTTGGGCGTTGCCTCATGGGGGGGCGATGTATGGGGGTACATGCCCCATCTTGGTACCTAAAAGGCTCCTCTAGACTCTAGGGGCCCTACCTTTTCTGCAGCCCTCGCTGCTCCCTATTGATCGCCCCCTCCCCTTCGCGACGCCCAATCTTGGGGGAAGGCCCAGGGGCCCCTGTCCAGGACCCACTTCCCTCAGGACCCGCCTCCTTCATGCCTTGCGATGTGGTCCTGCGGGGGCGGACGTCTGGCGCGCGCCGCGATGGCAGCAACTTCTTCCCGCACGAGCGGCGCCGAGGCATGCGCGACAGAAACGCCCACCGAGCTGAGACCAACGATCAGCGAAGAACGATGCAGCGGCGGGCACCCACCGTAGGATCTCTGAGAGAGAGAGGCGCTATTTCCGAGGCCGCCGCCCCGGTCCGCTCGGAACCCCGGCCTCCCGACGCCCCCCCTCCCCCACAGAAGCCCCGCCACGCACCCCCCGCTCGAGGAGGCTCGAGACACCCTCGCTGCGCCCAGGCCGCCTCTCTTCCCCCGGGGGGCTCCCTCTGCGCCCCGGCGCCTCCGCTCGCGACGGCGAGGGGAGGCGGGAGCGGCCTCGGGCCGCCGCGTGGGCAGCTCCTCCACGCCGGGGTCGGCGACGCCCTGAGCAAGCGCGCGCGAGCGCCCGGAACGTGCCTCCGCCTCGCGAGGGGGGGGGGGGGGGTCAGGGCTGTGGCAAAGGCCAGCAGAACCACAGGAGGTGCAGCTCTGAACAATTTTTCAGCGTCATGCATCAAGACCCACATGACGCGATGCCAACGTTAGAGATGTGACTCTGGAATCGGCAGGCCGTCGTGCCGCAGGAGGTGGAACTGTTTTTCAAGTCGGCGGGCGTAAGCAAGCCAGGGCAGGCGCAGGCGCCAGCCGGGCAACAGGCGGGACGTGCTGGGAGCGAATTGGGGCACGACGGAACGCGGGAAGAGAGGAGGCGGGGAGAGGGGACACGAAGGGCCTTCATCCTGGGTCTTTTCGCAATCCTGGGGCGGGGGGAGTCCGAGAGCCCGAAAACGGCGACAAACTTCATGACCCGTTTCCCTCAGGACACGTTTCCTCCATGGCGATTGTTATATACGGCCTGGCTGAACTGCAAAAGCCGGAAGCACTCGCCATGGAGTTCCCGGAGAGGCGCGGCTTGCGGCGGCTCTTCGGAGATGGGCGTTTGGCGCGGCCTGCGATGTTCTCTCAATGACCTTGCAGAACCAACAATTTCGGATACCAAGCCGCGGCCGACATGGAGCGGCACGAGATGAAGCGGCGAGCGCCCCCAGGAGGACTTTTCAACCCCTGTGGCCCACGCACCTCCCGCTTCTGACCCACACCTCTGCCCTGCGCACCTCTGCTCGTTCCTGCCGCTCCCTCCCGCAGGGGGGGGGAAAAAACAAGAGGTACCGATGCCGCTACGCCCCAGACCTCTCCCGGGGTGCGTTCTGACCAGAATTTCGAGGCGAATCCAGCGGTGCTGACGAGGGCATCCCAGGATGCCCAAAATGGCGAAAACGAAGCAAAGGTAGCGGTATGGGTTATGGGTACCTCTTCCTCCGCCGATCCACGCACTCCACGCCAAAGAAATCTGAGCCGCCCTGGACGCAGCTGGGTGGCGAAGCTTTGGCCAGCGAGCCCGCGGAAGTCGGAGCGACGGGGGGGGGCGGGGCTCGGCCTCGGGTCGTCGTGTGGGCAGCTCCTCCACGCCAGGGCCAGCACCAGCCTGCGCGCGCGCTCGCGCTGTCGCTCAGGGAGGCAAAACAGTGGGGCCTCGGGGTAACGGCGGAAGCAGTCGGAACCATAGAAGGGGGTGCAACGCGAGGGGTATAATCAAATGTTCGTTGAGGAGGGGCAGTGCAACAATCGTGGGGACTCCGGATCGAGGACTCAGGGGGGGTGTAACTTCCGCGCGCCCTTTGGGCCACCCGTGGCAGTCTCGGGGCCGTCCGGGGATTCTTCAGCGCTTCTCTCCTGCAATCCTCGATCCCCCCCGCTGATTGCCTGCCACTCGGTTGCCGTCCGCCCGACAGAAGTTGGCAGCGCGCACAAGGGGGGTGGAGTGAGGGGGGAAGGTTTCTTAGAAGGAGGCCGCTTCTCAGAAGGCGCTTGCCCTTACATCTATATACAAGGCCTGCGCCTTCTAAGAAGCAAGTTGCTTCCAAGAAACCTTCCCCCCTCCCCCTTCCCCCATCTGCGTGTGGCTGACCATTGGCAGCTGCGGACGCCCCCTCCCCGAGATGCGGAGAGCGGTGCGGCAGGCGACGGCCCTGCAGAGGTTGGCGTCTGGCGCGGCGCGCGATGGCTTGCAGCAGTCTGCGGCAGCCACCCGCCACAGACAAATGCGCGGCACGACCTGCGAACGCAGCGGCCACGGAACCCCGTGCGAGAGAGAGAGAGAGAAGCAACGGCGAGGAGGTGAGGCAGCGAACGCGCACCGAGGGGGCCTTTCAGGCGAGATGCAGTCCCTGCCACTCCTCCTCCCGAACCTGCCACGGTTCTCCTCGCAGCCCGTTCGGCGCCTGAACCCAGTCGGCAATCGAATGGGCCCGGTCAGGATCGAGTCAATCTGGCGGCAGCCGACTGGAGCAAGCTTTCGCCACCATCCCGGAATTGAGCCCATTCGGCTGCGCACTCGGCGGCCGAACGGGCTCAGACGACAAATGGAATTATTCGCATGAAGGAAAAGGTCCTGGTGGAAGCGCGTCCTGGACATGGGGCCTCCCCCAAGACCACCTGTTCATCCTGACTGGCCCTTTCACGGTCCTGGGCCTGGGGATGGGAGAACTAAAAGTTTAGGTACAAATACTGCTACTCCCCGGGCCTCTCCCAAGGTGCGTTCTGACCAGGAGTTCGAAGCCAGCCGTCACGACGAAGGCCTCCCAAGAGGCCCAACACGGCGAAAACGAGGGAGACGTACCGGTATCGGTCCCTGTTCTTCCTCTGAGGGAAGGGCCACGGCAGCCCCAAAACGACGAAGGAACTCCAGGACCTCTTTCCCACAGAAGCCCTCCTCTTCATGGCGAGCCTCTTCCCAAGGCCTCCTGCCGTCGCCTCCACGGTCCATGGAGAGGGTCGTAGATGCTCGTTCATCTCACCTTCCTGGAGCCACTCGCTCCACTTGTATGACCACTTGTCTTTTGGTTGTGTCTATGCCCCCTCCTCCTCTCCCTCTTCCGTTCTTCCTCTCCCCGCCTCATTCCTCCTCGCGGTGCTGCGAATGCGTGGGGCTTTCACTTTCTGCTACACAGTCGGGCGCTTCGTTTTGTGCTTCACAGGCGTGGGGCGCCGCGTTTCTCTTGTGTAGCTGTTGCTTCACAGTCGAGTGTTCGCGCCGTCTGTCGTATAGCATCCCCCGGAGAGCTTCCAATTGCGCACTCTTCTGCCCACGCGTTCTGCTGGACGCTCGGCTCATTATTCTTCTTATGCTGCATCCCACGTCTGTCGAGTTGAGTCGATCTTGAGTCGAACTTGTATCGAGCTGGAGTCGAGCCTCGAGTCCAGCTGGTCGAACTAGAGCCGAGCAGCTCCGTAAGGTGGGCCCCAGGCCCAGACATGCGATGTCGTGATGTCCTCCGTACGCGGCCCCCAGGAACCCCGACCCTTTCCTGGCGGGCCCAGCCCAGGCCCCCCCCGGAGGCCGAACACGGCCCGACCCCCCCCCCCACGTCGTGAGGTGTCCACGACGCGAGCACCTCTGAGAGCCAGAGGTGGCCCCGGGCAGAGACCCCAATAGCGAGCAGCTGCCTTGGCGGCTCCGGCTTCGGGGCCTCTGCACCCCCTGGGCAGCTCCTCCGCGCCGGAGGCGGCGCCGGCCCCGGCGCTCGTGCGGCCAGTGGCGGCGCGGGGCTCGGGAGGAGCGGGTGCTCGTGGGCGGGGGAGGAGCAGCAAAAGTGTGGGGGGGAGGAGCGAAACAAGACGAAAGTGTGGGGGGGAGGAGCAAGTGTGGGGAGGAGCCAGACCTGGTCGCAGAGTGGACGAAACAAGACGAAGGGGGGTTCGGCGACGTTCGGCCTCCAGGGGCCCTCGCCAGGCCTCGGGGCCGCAGCACAGATGACTCGGGATGAGAAGCCAGCCCTCCGGAAGAGGCTCGGGACTTGCGGGGACCGCCTCTTGAAAGATCAGGATCGCATGCCTTGGAGCCGTGCGCCTTTCGTGCACCTTCTCGGTGGCAGTCCGGAGGCCCTCCAGCGCCCCGTTGGGGCCGCTTTCCTGCCGTCCTCGATCCCTTCCAGGTTCATTGCCCCCCCGTTGCCGTCCGCCGGATGGGGCTTCGGAGGCTCCCAGGCGGTGCGGCGGCCTTGCCGTCTGGTCAGCCGAGGGTGGCCTTCGGAGCCGTCGGGGCGTTTTGAGGCTCGGGACGTTCTCTGAGGACGGCTCTGAGAGCCCGGGGGCATCGGGGTCACTACCGCCATCCGGTGGCGGACCGTGTGGTGAGGTCTTCGGGATGTCGAGGTCATCGGGCGGTCTGTCGCCAGATTTTGGGACTGCTGGGGAGGGCGGCAAGCGCAATCATGACCAGGGGGGCTTCGACTTCAACTTCGGCGCGATGGCACAACACTCAAACGTCAGATCGTGCTTGCAGCCAGCTGCAGCCAAGGACGTTCACCACTCGTGAGCCCATATAGGGGTTCTCTTGCCCTGACAGAAAAGAACATGTTTAATAATGTAAGCCCGTTCAAAATCAAGGCACTCGAAAGCAGCACAATTCAATTCAAAACAATGCTACACAATGAACGTACATCATAATCGAGGCAAGAAGCATGCAAACGACTGGAATACACATCTCATGCGGCACGACGCACATCAGACAAACATGAATTGTAGATGTAATGCAACAATATCTCGATAGCAATGCACAAACACGGCAAAACCAATCCACACGCAATGCAACGCACTGCTGTCGAACAGGGACTGGCACCGTACAAAAAGAAAAGGAACAAACAACACCAGACCAACCGCAACTCACAAGTAGTGTGGATTCACTGAAATGCGATGGTACACTTGAGTAGGTAGGGCAATCACCATGCACGAGCAAAACAGACTAGATCCAATGCATTGCAAACGAGGCGATGCCATGTAATCAAGCGCAACAACAATACAACATCAACGCAACAACACTGCAACACCTGTCCCAACACAATGCGAACGCACTGCGAAACCCATGCAATGATGTGTGATGCGATGCTACGCTATACAATTTGCTCCGCGCGTACACGATATACGATGCTTGGATTTGCGATATTCGACTTGGTCTGCATGGTAATGGATATTGCATAATGATCTGCTGAACCACCTAGCTTGCAGTGCTACACATGAGTGTACAGGATACGCCGCGCAACGCAGTGCTACAAGTGTGGCCCGAGTGCGACGGAGCTGGCCGCGTACATCAGGGTAAGACCTCTGGTTCCTGTGCACAGGACCAGATCCTTAAGGCAGAGCCTGACTGGCAAAAGCCACTCGTTCGTGCGTCGGCCGAGCGACACCGCATAACACATGCGAATCTGGAAGATGAAGCGCTCCAACAGGACGGTTAATTATCCCCCCCCCGCTGGCCCTCCATCGTTCCGACTGAACAATTCTGACGCACGAGGGGCGGGACGAGAGCATCCCGGCCTGCCCGAGTGACGTGGAAGCCCGACTCGCTCTCTGCTCCGGGAGAGAGAGAGAGAGAGAGAGAGAGAGAGAAAAAAAAACAAAAAACCAAGAACACATAAAAACATAAACATAAAACAATGACAACAAAAAACAGCTCCGCGAGGTGCAGCGCGAGAGCGGCGCCCCGCTTGCAGCGCAGGCGCAGCCACCGACCCACGAGCGACAGAAGCAGCGGCCGACGAGGCGGCGCACGGCCGCTGTTGCGGCCCTGCGACAAATATGCACCTCCCCGGCGCCGCCACGCCCGCCGCCGGCTCGAATCCTGCCCTGCTACGGGGGAACAGAAAGGCACTGATGCCGCCATCCTCTGTGGACCTCTCCCGGGGTGTGATCTGACCCGGCTCTCGCGGAGGATCCAGCCGTGGCGACGAAGGCCCTCCCAGGACGAGCCGCGGCAACGGCACCCTCGCCCGCCCGCTTCCCCGCACGCCGCGCCCGGGCAGCGCGCCGCGCGCGGCTCCCGCCACGCCTCCGCCGACCGAGGGGCGCGGGGGCCGGCCTCGGCCCGCCGCGTGGGCAGCTCCACTCCGGAGACGGCGCCGGCCTGCGCGCCGCCAGAAGAAGCAGGAGGCCGCGGGGTGCGACGCGACGGGCGCGCGACGAGGGAGGCAGGCAAGCAGCCCTCCTGGGCCCCCGAGGCCCGTCAGGTTCCAGATCCCTGCGCCCGGATCCCCACCCCCCTCCCCTCCAGACTTCAGGCGGCCGCTCCTCCCAGAGAGAGAGAGAGAGAGAGAGAGAGAGGGGGCGCGGGCCGCCCTGGGTGAGGCAAGGCATGGCAAGGCTAAGCTCTTTCTGGGGGTTCGCTCAACGCCTCTGCGGGGGGCGCTCGGCCTCGGGCCGCCGCGTGGGCAGCTCCTCCGCGTGGACCACGCCGGAGATGTCGCCCGCCTGAGCGCGCGCGCGCGCGAAGCGTTTTCACCCGGCCAAGGGAGGAGACATGGCGGCGGCAGCAGTCAGAACGGCAGCGCGGTGGCGCACAAGGGAGGAACAGCGGCCTGGCGCAGTGGCAGGGGGCCCGGCGCAGTGGCAGGGGGGCCATTACACGGCCGTCAGCTCGGAGGGCGAGATCAAGTTCCCGGGGGAAGCGCGGCTGGCGACAGCCGTAAGTTGAAGGCGATCATCCGACGCGTCGTCTTCGGGCGCTGCTCGAACAAGTCGCCGTCATCAAAGACGCACGGGCAGTGCTTCGTGCCCTCTTCGGCCCTGAAGAAATCCAGGTCTGGCCCCTCTCTGAACGAGGCCAAGCCGCGGTCCCCAGCTTGTCTGCGTAGTAGTCGCCCATGGCGAATGCCAGCGTCTCCAGGTACGGCGTCTTCCCCTCGCCAGGCTCGCCGACCATGAGGCAGGAGTGGCTCTTGAAAGTAGGCACGATGCGCTTCGCGCGCTCGACGCCCTCGCCCCCTGTGTCGAAGATGAAGATGGGGTGGTACGTGATCTTTTTCGCCTGAATGCCCTGGTCCTTAATGTGCGAGAGAACCTCCTTAATCTTCCCCTCTGTCCAGCTGTGGATGGGGCTCTGCGGGTCGTTCAGCTGGAAGTCGATCCACATCATATGTTCGCAATCGAAGTTGCCGCGCGGGGCGTTGTCCTTAATGAACTGGTACTGGGATACGATCATGTCCTGGGGAAGGCACTTCTTCTTCTTCTCCTTTTCGCCCTTCTCCTGCGGGGGTAGGTGGTAACGGAAGTGCGTGCCACCGAGCCGATCCATCATGTAGACCAAGACTTTCCACGGCGTCTTGACGTCCGCTCCCTTGCCCCAAGATAGCGTGTACAACACTTCATTCTCACGCAGGAGGCGGTTCTCGACGTCGACCAACGGCTGCGGGCCCGAGAACAGAAAGTACTTGATGATGTCTGTCCCGTCGCCGTCGCCAGCGGGCACCAGTGCCAACTGCATCGTGTAAAGGGTTTCCCAGTTTGTTCTGGGGCGCAATAGCTCTGGCAGACCATTGTAGTCGTTGACCGCCATGGCCTCCCGCACCGCGGCCATGTCGATGTCCCCCTGGTAGTTCAAGACAACGGCAAAGGCATGCTTCATCTTCTTGCAACCTTCAGACGGCATGAGGGGGAGATCCCCTACAGAGTAGAGAGCTGGGGGATCGTCCTGGAATTCCTCTGGGTGCAACGCCGTCTGGTACATCGGGACGGCCGAGCCGTGGCCGCGGCCTTTTTCGAATACCTGCTGGATTCGCCATCGAACATGCTGAGCCTGATGAGGGGAGGAGCGTGAGGGAGCCAGGAGGAGGAAGAGAAAGATGGTCGTTGGGGTGCGCTGGGGGGGGGGCGAGCATATATATATATATATATATATATATATACATACATACATACATCCATCCATCCATCCATCCATCCATCCATCCATCCATCCATCCATCCATCCATACATACATACATACATACATACATACATACATACATACATACATACATACATACATACATACACACAGACATACATACATACATACATACATACATACATACATACATACATACATACACACACATACATACATACATACATACATACATACATACATACATACATACATACATACATACATACATACATACATACATATATGCGTATAAATACGTGTAGCCCCGTCCCATCTACGCCTGAGCCTCCTTTGCGCCGCTGCTCTCCGGCTCCAAGGGCGAGGGGAACGGGGCGCCTCGGCCTCGGGCCGCCGCGTGGGCAGCTCCTCCACGCCAGGGGCGGCGCCGGCCTGCGCGCGCGAGAGACACGCGCGGGCCCTGAGCTCCGACGTCTCGATGCACCCACAGGCCACAACTCTTCGCTGCTTGAGGCCTCGAAGCAAGCGGCCCTTGCCAGGGCGCCGGGACTGCCAGAAAACGACTCAGGAGGAAGAACGAGCCCAGGGGAGAAGTTCGGGCCGGCCACGGCCGGGAGGGCCGTGATGCTCACGGCAGGTTCGTGTCGTGACGACCCTGGCGTTGCTTTTTCTGACACCGCGTGGGTCGTTCCACCTTGCAGAATCCGCTGCTTCTCGATCGCCAGGTCGATCCATACTCCCACATTGCCCACCTCTGGCCGCATGGCTGCGTTCAGCCTTGCAGGCCCGCGGCGAGGTCGCTGGCGCGTCGGGGCGGCACGACACCCCTGCACCCCTCCCTCCCAGGGGGGGGGGAACTGGCCGCACGGACGACATCGTCCGAGAGGGGACGTCGGGGCCGACGTGGGTATACCCAAGGGGGGGGCAACGAAGGACCTGCGGCCGCCCGCCCCAGCTGTGGCTGGCCTCCCTGAAAGGGGGGGTCGCCCACCCCCCCTGCCTGAGGGGCGTCGCCTCTGACCTCGGGACGCTGGAAGCGATACCTCAAATGCCGCAGCGTGCTGGCAGCCAGCCTTCGCTTCCCTCACTGCTTCCTGGCGGTCGCTCCTCCCCTCGAGGGAAGGGAGGGGTCCTCCCTGGAGGGGAGGGAGGGGGGGGGGGCGCTCGGCCTCGGGCCGCCGCGTGGGCAGCTCCTCCACGTGGACCGCGCCGGAGATGCCGCCAGCCTGAGCGCACGCGCGCGCGCACAGAGCGTGTCCGCACAAAGCATGGCGGCGGCGGTAGCAATCACGAACCCAGCGCGACCGCAATGCGGGGAAAGCTTCCTGAACAAGTAGCTGAGCAACGAGGGCCTTGCTTGACATTGCCTGCATTGCTTGGCTGGGCGTTGCTTTGTGTGTGCTTGCCGTCGTGTTGCTTTGCTGTGCATTGCTTTGCGTTGTCTCTTGTCATTGCTTGGTGTTGATTGGCGTGGTATTGCTTTTTGCATTGCTGGGCATTGCCTGCCACTTTCTGGCATTGCTTGGCGTTGCCGTCGCTTGACAATGCTTGGCATTGCTTGGCGTTGCTTGTCGTTGCTTGGTGTGGCCTGGTATGGCCTGGCAATGCTCGGCATGGAATGATTGACATGGATTGGCATTGCTCGGCGTTGCCTGACATTGCGTTGCGTTGCTTGGCGTTGCCTTGCACTGCTTGAGGAACCAGAACCAAGGAACCCGAGGAAGGCAGGCACGGAAAAAGACCAAGCAACTCTCGAGTAAGGCAGGCAAGAAACAAGACCCAGTAACCCGAGGAATGCAGTCAAAAAACAATACCCAGCAACCCAGCAACACGCGGAAGGCAACCCGCGGAAGGCACTCCAGAAGCAAGACCAGGCAACCCGAGGAAGGCTGGCCGGCGCAGGCCTGGCACCCACGGGATCTTCAATCCAAACTAGAAACCCCGAGGAGCAGCGGCTTGGCGCTGAGGTAGGGGTTATCGTACGGCCGTCTGCTCGGGTGGCGAGATCAGCTTCTCATATTCGAAGGCGAACATCGGACGCGACGGGCGCGCGACGAGCGGAGGACAGCAGGCAAGCAGACCTCCTGGGCGTCCGAGGCCCGTCAGCAAGGGTTCCAGATGCCTCCAGCCCGACCCCCACCCCCTTCCCCTCCAGACTTCAGGCGGCCGCTCCTCCCAGAAAGAAAGAGAGAGAGAGGAAAAAAAAACGGGAAAAAACGCGGACACCCGACGCGTCTTGCGGTGGTCTGCGGCGAGTCTGCGGCCTTTCCCAACCGCGCTCCAGCAGCGCGCAGCGGCCGAGACGGAGAAGAGGCGGCCAGCGATGAAGCGGTGAAGCGTCGCACGTCTCACCAGAAAGCCCCATCCGCCCTCCAACTCCTGCCCCTCAGGCTCCCGCTTACCGCCCCGTTCCGCGCCCTCCCCGCCCAACGGCTCCCGAGCCGCCAAGGCCCATCTCCCCACGCGCCCCACCGACGAATTTCAAACACAGACTCTTGGAGGGTCCGCGCTGGCTTCTGGGGTCGGCGCTGGAGCCCCCCTCCCCTGGCGCCCGAGGCGCCTTGACGACACGTTCTGCCACGACGGCGCCAAGGCCTGGGACCGCATCGGACGGGGCCCAGTCGGGGATCTCTGGAGGATGCATCGGGGCACCGCGGCCGTTCCAGAGCGCCCACGGGGCGCTCTGTGAGAGCCTCCCGGAACGCTCTGGAACGAGTGAACCTGCTCTATATAAATACGTGTAGCCCCGCCCCATCTACGCCTGTGCCTCCTCTGCGCCGCTGCTCTCCGGCTCCAAGGGCGAGGGGAACGGGGCGCCTCGGCCTCGGGCTGCCGCGTGGGCAGCTCCTCCACGCCAGGGGCGGCGCCGGCCTGCGCGCGCGCGAAAGACGCGCGCGGGCCCTGAGCTCCGACGTCTCGGTGCTCCCAAAGGCCACAACTCTTCGCTGCTTGAGGCCTCGAAGCAAGCGGCCCTTGCCGGGGCGCCGGGACTGCCAGAGAACGACTCAGGAGGAAGAGCGGGCCCAAGGGAGAAGTTCCAGACCCGGGGAGCAACTCAGGACGTCGGGCCGGCCACGGCCGGCAGGGCCGTGATCTTCACGGCAGGCTCGTGTCGTGACGACCCTGGCGTTGCTTTTTCTGACACCGCGAGGGTCGTTCCACCTTGCAGAATCCGCTGCTTCTCCCACATTGCCCACCTCTGGCCGCATGGCTGCGTTCAGCCTTGCAGGCCCGCGGCGAGGTCGCCGGCGCGTCGGGGCGGCACGACACCCCTGCACCCCGCCCTCCCAGGGGGGGGGGACTGGCCGCACGGACGACATCTCCCGAGAGGGGACGTCGGGGCCGACGTGGGTATACCCAAGGGGGGGGCAACGAAGGACCTGCGGCCGCCCCAGCTGTGGCTGGCCTCCCTGAAAGGGGGGGTCGCCCAACCCCCCTGCCTGAGGGGCGTCGCCTCTGACCTCGGGACGCTGGAAGCGATACCTCAAATGCCACAGCGTGCTGGCAGCCAGCTTTCGCTTCCCTCACTGCTTCCAGGCGGTCGCTCCTCCCCTCGAGGGGAGGGAGGGGTCCTCCCCTGGAGGGGAGGGAGGGGGGGGGGCGCTCGGCCTCGGGCCGCCGCGTGGGCAGCTCCTCCACGTGGACCGCGCCGGAGATGCCGCCAGCCTGAGCGCACGCGCGCGCGCACAGAGCGTGTCCGCACAAAGCATGGCGGCGGCGGTAGCAATCACGAACCCAGCGCGACCGCAATGCGGGGAAAGCTTCCTGAAAAAGTAACTGAGCAACGAGGGCCTTGCTTTGCATTGCCTGCATTGCTTAGCTGGGCGTTGCTTTGTGTTTGCTTGCCGTCGTGTTGCTTCGCCGTGCATTGCTTTGCGCTGTCTCTTGTCACTGCTTGGTGTAGATGGGCGTGGCATTGCTTTTTGCATTGCTCGGCATTGCCTGCCACTTCCTGGCATTGCTTGGCGTTGCCGTTGCTTGAAATTGCTTGGCATTGCTTGTCATTGCTTGGTGTGGCCTGGTATAGCCTGGCAATGCTCGGCATGTAATGATTGATATGTATTGGCATTGCTCGGCGTTGCCCGGCATTGCGTTGCGTTGCTTGGCGTTGCCTTGCAGTGCTGAGAAACCAGAACCAAGGAACCCGAGGAAGGCAGGCACGGAACAAGACCAACCAACTCTCGAGGAAGGCAGGCAAGAAACAAGACCAAGCAACCCGAGCAAGGCAGTCGTGGAACAATACCCAGCAACCCACGGAAGGCAATCAAGAAACAAGACCCAGCAACACGCGGAAGGCACTCAAGAAGCAAGACCAGGCAACCCGAGGAAGGCTGGCCGGCGCAGGCCTGGCACCCACGGGATCTACAAACCAACTAGAAACCCCCAGGCAAGCCGAACAGAAGAAAACACTGCAGCGCAGTGGCGCTGAGGTAGGGGTTATCGTACGGCCGTCTGCTCGGGTGGCGAGATCAGCTTCTCATATTCGAAGGCGAACATCGGACGCGACGGGCGCGCGACGAGCGGAGGACAGCAGGCAAGCAGACCTCCTGGGCGTCCGAGGCCCGTCAGCAAGGGTTCCAGATGCCTCCAGCCCGACCCCCACCCCCTTCCCCTGCAGACTTCAGGCGGCCGCTCCTCCCAGAAAAGGAGAGAGAGAGAGAGAGAGAAAACAAAAAAAACACCCGACGCGTCCTGCGGTGGTCTGCGGCGAGTCTGCGGCCTTTCCCAACCGCGTTCCAGCAGTGCGCAGCGGCCGAGACGGAGAAGAGGCGGCCAGCGATGAAGCGTCTCACGTCTCACCTGAAGGCCCTTCTGGACGAGATGCGGCACCCGAGCCGCCCGCCCCATCTTGCCCCTCCACATCCTGCCCCTTAGGCTCCCGCTTACCGCCCCGTTCCGCGCCCTCCCCGCCAAATGGCCCCCGAGCCGCCAAGGCCAGGAGGCAGGGCGCCATCCCCCCACGCGCCCCACCGACGAATTTCAAACACAGACTCTTGGAGGGTCCGCGCTGGCTTCTGGGGTCGGCGCTGGAGCCCCCCTCCCCTGGCGCCCGAGGCGCCTTGACGACATCCGCGCGGCACTCCGAAAATCCACGTTCTGCCACGACGGCGCCAAGGCCTGGGACCGCATCGGACGGGGCCCAGTCGGGGCCCTCTGGAGGATGCATCGGGGCGCCGCGGCCGTTCCAGAGCGCCCACGGGGCGCTCTGTGAGAGCCTCCCGGAACGCTCTGGAACGAGTGAGCCTGCTCTATACATGTGTATATATATATATATATATATATATATATATATATATATATATATTCCCGCTCCCGCCGCTGGGGCCAGATGAGATTGTTTCTGACTGAGCGAGCCGGCGTCGGGAGCAGCGGGCGAGCGCGGCCACTCGACAAGAGGCAACCAGCGCTAGCGATCGCGGCTTTGCCGATCCTGCCCCTGGAAACAAGGCTGAGCCAGGGAGGGAGTGGAGGGAGGCGAACCTGTGACAGGAAACGGCCACACACGCACGCGGTTGCTAGACGATACACGCGCAAGCACAAACATCTTCCCGCTCCCGCCGCTGGGGCCAGATGAGATTGTTTCTGACTGAGCGAGCCGGCGTCGGGAGCAGCGGGCGAGCGTGGCCACTCGACAAGAGGCAACCAGCGCTAGCGATCGCGGCTTTGCCGATCCTGCCCAAAACAACGAATCCCAAAGAGTTCAACTGGCCCCTTTGGGCCGTCGATCATAACTATCCAGCTTTCAAAATCCATCGGAAGAAACCTTGACAAACATTAAAAGCGAGGGCCTGGCGAAAGCATGTCACGATGGCCCTACACAGCGGTCTCGGTATGGTTCAGCTATCTTGGTCATAAACTGCAGGGGCTCATGCTCTGATGTTCTGCTTTTTTCCTGTCAACTCTACATGAGGGCGATTTGTGCGCGCAAATCCCTTTGGACGACGAGCACAGTCCGCGAAGCGAGGAGAGATCGACCCACAATGATAGCAGCCTGGTACTTTTCCTCCACGGGACCCCGTAGAGGCAAAAATCTACGACGGTCTGTCTGGCATTGGCATGGTTCAAAATACGTGCGATGGGGGGGGGCCGACCACACACGAGACGAGTGCGGATTCTCGAGTACCACTGGGATGCGAAGACGCATGCATAACTGCAACACACTGGCACAGAACCGCATGATATCATTTCCTATGGCAACCTTTCGTGCATCCGAAGGCGAGAGGTCAGGAAGCCCCATGATACTGTCCTTGCTGCGCAGCGGGGGCGGTCCTGTCTCGCCGCCCCTCCGCGCCATGGACCAGAAAGAACGCAGCATGCCCATCCACGCTGCGCAGACGAGGCCGCTGCGCAGCCACCCCCTGATCAGCTTCTGGTTGCTCGGGCGGGTCAAATCGCACCCTTCTCCGTGGATCAGGTCCCATTCGAAGACCGGGGCGTCTCTGAGCCCTGCTTCGCGCCGCCAGGCCTGCGCCCAGCGCCCGGTGCCGCTGAAGAGCTCAAGGGCCACCTGGCCCCGTGGGGCCCGGGCGGCAGCGCCGCGCGCGTCCTGGCGAGGAGCTGTCCAGCTCGGTTGCGGCAGGCCCTGGCGTGCTCGAGCGCCACCCTGGCGAGCCGAGCCAGCACCTGGTGGAGTCTGCCGCCCTTCTCGCAACGGCGGAGTGACTTCGCGCTCACCCAGCGCCCGTGACGCAGCGCGCCCTGCAGCTCCCTCTGGCCGCTGGCGATCGCGTGCGAGGCGCCTCCGTGGCGGCCCAGGTGCAGGTAGTGAATGCCGATCGCCTCCAGGTTGAGCAGCTTCCCCGCCGCGCCGAAAGGCCTCTCCAGCTCCGCGCGCTCGAAGGGGAAGAGCCGCGGCCCCGCGCCCCGCCGAAGCGCCCGCAGCCCCGGCACCAAGCCGAAGTACTCCGATTTGTCCAGCACCAGCGCCTCGTCGTACAGCTTCGCCTTCGATGGCTGCATCCCCTCCGCGGGGTGGAGCTCCGCGCCCCAGCGCGCGTGTCCCGCGCCGCCGCCCGCGAGGGGCTCCGCCAGATCCTCCGGCCGCCTCTTGATCACGCCCGCGGGCCTCAGGTACAGCGCATGCATCAGGGCTGCGCACACGCGCGGCTCCCATGGGCTCTCCAGGTACAGCATGGCATTCAAGACCGTGAGCATGATGACGAGCGGCAGCGGCAACCTCGACGTGGCGGGGGCCACCTTGTTGACCCCCGCCTAGGCCAGGGTGGCCCTCCTCAGCTCCACCTTGGCCCGCTTCAGCTGCCAGTGGAAGGCTACGGCGGCCCTCGGCTTGCTGAAGTCCCCCGCCGTGGCCCCCTTGAAGTACATCACGTCGCTCCTCTTCACCAGAGTTCCCTCCTGCTCGGCCAGCGTCCCCAGCGGCAGCCGGTGAAGAGCAGCCCAGGCCAGAAAAAACGCCATCATCTTCTCGCGCGGCTCCTCCGCGGCTCTGGCACGGGGCAGCAAGCCCGTCACGGCTGCTGCCCGGCTGCCTGCGCTGCGGCACCCCGCGCGGCTCCGCGACGGCATCGCCGCGAGGGGGCGCAGCGGGGCGGACCCCGATGAAAGCCTGATGAAGCTCAGGCCCAGGAGGCTGAAGAAGGCGGGACGGCTCGTCCGCGGGATTATCCTCCGACATCACCCATCGAACTGAGGCTGACGCGCCTGACGCCAGGCAGTTGGCCCCCCACTGCCTGCACACGCGGTTCACCCCCTTGACCGACGACCTCCCCTTGCTCATCATCAGGGCCACCGACATCGCATCGACGATGAAGAGGAGACGGCGACCATGATTGTGCAGCCGACGGAGTTGATGCTTCAGCGCCCACAGGACGCTCCGCGCCTCAAGCATGGGCATGGATTCGCGCTGCCGCCAGTGGGCGGCGCTGACCGTGCGCCATGGGCCCTTCATCAGCTCGGCGGGCACCTCGTCGAAGTCAGACTCGGACGACAGCCCCTCGACCTGCGACTCCTGGGTTATATCCGTCAGGTGTTCCCCCTCGGGGCGGCAGCGGGCGTGGAGCCGAGCCTGCGCGCTGAGCTCACCGTGCTTGCTGAAGCGCCACCTCTCGTTCACGCGCCCGGCGCGCCGAACTAGCGCCTCGGCCCTCTCTCCCTCGACCGCGCCGCGGCCCCAAGGCGAGGCGTCCGACGCCATCGCCGTCGCACCCCACTCCGCGGCCAGGTCGCGCCGCACCAGCGGTAGCAGGCTCACAGCCCACCACAGCTCCCGGCGCGCCGCTGGCCAGAGCGCCGCGCGATCGTCACGATGAGCATGGGTGAAGCCGCACACCGCCCCGAAGCAGGACATCATCTCCCTCCTCATCAAAGCAGCGAAGGCGAAGTGCCCCACCACGACCTCGACCTGCCAGCCGTAGACACGGGGTCGTCGAAGCAGCTCTTGAACTCCGAGTTGTAGGCGCCAAACTCTGACGGGGTTGAGCGCGACGATCGCCTCCCCCTCCTCCTCGTCAAAGTGCCAGCCCAAGCAGACGCCTCCCACGCTGGCCTCCACGCCATGCGTCGGCAGCCCCACCGCCTTCATGCCTGCGTCCACGGCGACCGCGGCAGCCTCCGCCTTCGCAAAGTCCTGCGAGAACGCCGCAAAGTTGTCGACGTACTGCGTGTGGCTGACCGGCGCAAGTGACGGCGGCGGTCGGCCGTCGGCCATCCGCTGCGAGTCAGGCAGCCCCGGCACCTGTCGCACGATCTCCTCGTGCACGCTCTGGCACGCGCCCAGCGCCAACGACCAGCCCATCGGCACCGCCGCGAAGCACGGCACGACCACATCGTTGACGCCGACAGGCTGTCCGCTGCAGTGCGAGATCCCCGCTTCTCCGGCCGTCAGAGATTTCAGGCCGAAGAAACGAGTCAGATCCGACGGCAGTGCCAGCGCATAGAAGGCGTCCGCGATGTCCACCTGCCCCAGCGCTACCGGAGCGTCCGAGTCCACCTCGATGGAGCCCATGGTCGCGCCAGTGGCCAGGTTCACGTCGTCGGGCTCGTCAAAGTGCGTGTTGGACAGTCGGCAGTCTATGATGAGCCGAACCTTGCCACTGTTCTTCCATGCGGAGAAAATGCCGACCCGCTCAGTGCAGGTCCGCTTGAACTCGATGAGTCCCCTGCTGGCGAGGTGCCTCACCAGGCGCGCGTAGTGCCGTCGGTCTCGCAGCAGAGGATCGCTGTAACAACGTTTCACGCCACACTCCTCTCGTTTCCTCCCTGCCTCCTCTTTGGGCAGGATCTTGCTCTTCAGCCCCTCGGCGATGCGCGCGCCAACATCTCCTGCAACCTCTTCAAGGCCGCGCGGCCTGTGGCCCTCCGGAGGCACGGAGGGGAGGTCAAGCTCGAGGGGCGCGAGGGTGGCGGGCTCCCCGCCATACCCTCGTTTGGCGAGGAGCTCGCTCAGGGCTCCCTCGCCGCCCACGCCATCAGGAGGAGGCCCCGCAGCCCGCGCGGCGGAGCGCAGGCGCTCAAGACAGCGCGCCTGGCCCGCCGAGGGAACCTCTGGCCCAGCGCCCGATGGCACAGGACCGCCCGCCATCTCGTTCAGCGTGTCGATCATGCAGTTCGTCCAGTAGTCTTCGTGACCCCGTCGCTCTGCACGTCGCCGAACTGCTCGACAAGGTCGGGCTCCAGCATGTGAAGCAAAACTCAGTACACCGGCGGTCCCCTCACGAAAACGAGGGAGCGGCAGCAAGTCGCGCTGCCGACCATCACGTGGCACCCGCCAATCATCAGTGGGCTGTCCTCCAGAACTGCCAGCGCCCCAGCCCACTCCAGGCACTGCCCCCCTCCTTCCCTCCACGGCGACCCAGGGGGCAGACCGCCGCGGGAGGTCCTCAGGCATCGGCCCCGCGCGCGAGGATCACCTCCCCGCGCGCCTCTCGCACCTGCTTCATGACCTGAGCATCCCTCTCGACCTCCTTCGCCACGTAGTCGATGAGCCGTGGGTCCAGAAGCAGGTCCCCGAACTCCTCGCGCGCTCCCAGGAAGACCGACACCTCGTCGTAGATCCCCGCGGAACGGCCTCCCTTGCGGCCCTTGTTCTTCTTGGCGTTGCCACCGCCCTCGCTGTTGTCGGTGACTCCAAGGCCAGCTGGGCCTGCCTCCGAGCACCAATACTCTATCATCCGAGCCGTGGGGATCAGCAACTCGGCCCAGGCGAAAGTGGTGATGTTAACGCCGTGGTACGCCTCCAGCAGCTCCAGCACCCGCATGATGAGCTCGTGCACCTGCATTTCCCCCATGTCATTGTAGAGCCGCGAGTCGTTCACCCTCCATACGTGATGCTCGTGGGGGCCCATCCTGCTGTTCAAAATCTCGGCTGCCCACTTCTTCGTGCGTGGGCCTGGTACGGGGAAGTCCGGGAAGGTCTCCTCTTTCAGCCTCTCCACACCGTAGCGCCAGAGCCACTTGCGGCGGCCGCCCGCCGGGCAGGCCACATCCAGCGGCCTCGTGCCCGCGGCGGCCTCCTTCCCCCTGCACTCGTCCGTGCCAGTCACCGCCTCCAAGGCCCGGCAGGTCCAGGCGTCTCCGCCGACGGGGCACTCCATCAGCGCACACTCCCCCTGGACGATCCCACTGCCGCTCAGCGACTCCACGTCTCCGCGCGGCAGCCCAGCGTGCATCTCCACGCTGGCCCAGTGGTGAGTCGCCGCCGCCGCTCCCGACCCCGCCATCAGCGCACCCGCGTCTCCAGCGGCCCCTCCAGCCGCCAGCGTCGCCGCCGCCGGCACCAGGGCCGTTGCCATCAGAGCGTCCACCCCAGCGGGCGCCGCTCCGCATGCTGCCGTTGTTCCGGCGTCTCCTGCGGGCGGCATCGGCAGCCGCGCTCGGGCACCGGGCCCCAGCGTCGCGAGCCCGCGAGCCGCCGCCCGCGCCGCCTGGGGGGCCCGTGCTGCGGCACCCGCCTCGCCGCGCCCCCGCACTGACTGTGCAGGCGTCGGCCCCGCGCGGAAGCGGTAGCTCTGTCCGTGCGGGAGCCAGGCGGGGGGCGGCCAGTGGTTAGCCTCCCTGCGGAAGGCGATCACGTCGCTGCTCGCCGCCCTGTAGTCCCCCACGTAGGTGTCTGCGTCGGGTGGCGTGCTCGCCACCTCCTCGGGCTGCAGGCGCCAGCCAGGCCCAGGGTCGCGCGCGCCTGGGCAGGGAGGGCAGCCAGGGCACGCAGGGCACGGCGGGCACGGCGGAGAGCGCCCCGCCCAGAGCACCGCCGCCAGGCCCGCCTGGCGCACCAGCTCGCCCACCACGCCGATCGCGAGGGCCCGCACCCCGGCCATCCGCGTCGGCGCGCTCTCAAAGCGAACCTGTGACAGGAAACGGCCACACACGCACGCGGTTGCTAGACGATACACGTGCAAGCACAAACATAAATATGTATATATGCGTGTAGCCCCGCCCCATTTACGCCTGTGCCTCCTCTGTGCCGCTGCTCTCCGGCTCCAAGGGCGAGGGGAACGGGGCGCCTCGGCCTCGGGCCGCCGCGTGGGCAGCTCCTCCACGCCAGGGGCGGCGCCGGCCTGCGCGCGAGCGAGAGACGCGCGCGGGCCCTGAGCTCCGACGTCTCGATGCACCCACAGGCCACAACTCTTCGCTGCTTGAGGCCTCGAAGCAAGCGGCCCTTGCCAGGGTGCCGGGACTGCCAGAGAACGACTCAGGAGGAAGAGCGGGCCCAGGGGAGAAATTCCAGACCCAGGCCCTTGGAGCAACTCAGGACGTCGGGCCGGCAGGTTCGTGTCGTGACGACCCTGGCGTTGCTTTTTCTGACACCGCGTGGGTCGTTCCACCTTGCAGAATCCGCTGCTTCTCGATCGCCAGGTCGATCCATACTCCCACATTGCCCACCTCTGGCCGCATGGCTGCGTTCAGCCTTGCAGGCCCAAGGCGAGGTCGCTGGCGCGTCGGGGCGGCATGAGACACCCCTCCCTCCCAGGGGGGGGGGAACTGGCCGCACGGACGACATCGTCCGAGAGGGGGGCGTCGGGGCAGCTGTGGCTGGCCTCTCTGAAAGGGGTGTCGCCCACCCCCCCTGCCTGGGGCGACCAGCGCTCCGGAGGGGCGTCGCCTCTGACCTCGGGACGCTGGAAGCGATACCTCAAATGCCACAGCGAGCTGGCAGCCAGCTTTCGCTTCCCTCACTGCTTCCAGGCGGTCGCTCCTCCCCTGGAGGGGAGGGAGGGGGGGGGGGGCGCTCGGCCTCGGGCCGCCGCGTGGGCAGCTCCTCCACGTGGACCGCGCCGGAGATGCCGCCAGCCTGAGCGCACGCGCGCGCGCACAGAGCGTGTCCGCACAAAGCATGGCGGCGGCGGTAGCAATCACGAACCCAGCGCGACCGCAATGCGGGGAAAGCTTCCTGAAAAAGTAGCTGAGCAACGAGGGCCTTGCTTTGCATTGCCTGCATTGCTTGGCTGGGCGTTGCTTTGTGTGTGCTTGCCGTCGTGTTGCTTTGCTGTGCATTGCTTTGCGTTGTCTCTTGTCGTTGCTTGGTGTTGATTGGCGTGGCATTGCCTTTTGCATTGCTCGGCATTGCCTGCCACTTCCTGGCATTGCTTGGCGTTGCCGTTGCTTGACATTGCTTGGCGTTGCTTGGCATTGCTTGGTGTGGCCTGGTATGGCCTGGCGCTGCTCGGCATGGAATGATTGATATGTATTGGCATTGCTCGGCGTTGCCTGACATTGCGTTGCGTTGCGACAATCCACGTTCTGCCACGACGGCGCCAAGGCCTGGGACCGCATCGGACGGGGCCCAGTCGGGGATCTCTGGAGGATGCATCGGGGCGCCGCGGCCGGTCCAGAGCGCCCACGGGGCGCTCTGTGAGAGCCTCCCGGAACGCTCTGGAACGAGTGAGCCTGCTCTATACATACTACATACGTGTAGCCCCGCCCCGTCTACGCCTGTGCCTCCTCTGCGCCGCTGCTCTCCGGCTCCAAGGGCGAGGGAAACGGGGCGCCTCGGCCTCGGGCCGCCGCGTGGGCAGCTCCTCCACGCCAGGGGCGGCGCCGGCCTGCGCGCGCGCGAAAGACGCGCGCGGGCCCTGAGCTCCGACGTCTCGGTGCTCCCAAAGGCCACACCTCTTCGCTGCTTGAGGCCTCGAAGCAAGCGGCCCTTGCCGGGGCGCCGGGACTGCCAGAGAACGACTCAGGAGGAAGAGCGGGCCCAGGGGAGAAGTTCCAGACCCGGGGAGCAACTCACGACGTCGGGCCGGCCACGGCCGGGAGGGCCGTGATGCTCACGGCAGGTTCGTGTCGTGACGACCCTGGCGTTGCTTTTTCTGACACCGCGAGGGTCGTTCCACCTTGCAGAATCCGCTGCTTCTCCCACATTGCCCACCTCTGGCCGCATGGCTGCGTTCAGCCTTGCAGGCCCGCGGCGAGGTCGCTGGCGCGTCGGGGCGGCACGACACCCCTGCACCCCGCCCTCCCAGGGGGGGGGACTGGCCGCACGGACGACATCTCCCGAGAGGGGACGTCGGGGCCGACGTGGGTATACCCAAGGGGGGGGCAACGAAGGACCTGCGGCCGCCCCAGCTGTGGCTGGCCTCCCTGAAAGGGGGGGTCGCCCCCCCCCCCCCCCTGCCTGAGGGGCGTCGCCTCTGACCTCGGGACGCTGGAAGCGATACCTCAAATGCCACAGCGTGCTGGCAGCCAGCTTTCGCTTCCCTCACTGCTTCCTGGCGGTCGCTCCTCCCCTCGAGGGGAGGGAGGGGTCCTCCCCTGGAGGGAAGGGAGGGGGGGGGGCGCTCGGCCTCGGGCCGCCGCGTGGGCAGCTCCTCCACGTGGACCGCGCCGGAGATGCCGCCAGCCTGAGCGCACGCGCGCGCGCACAGAACGTGTCCGCACAAAGCATGGCGGCGGCGGTAGCAATCACGAACCCAGCGCGACCCCAATGCGGGGAAAGCTTCCTGAACAAGTAACTGAGCAACGAGGGCCTTGCTTTGCATTGCCTGCATTGCTTAGCTGGGCGTTGCTTTGGGTTTGCTTGCCGTCGTGTTGCGTCGCCGTGCATTGCTTTGCGTTGTCTCTTGTCACTGCTTGGTGTAGATGGGCGTGGCATTGCTTTTTGCATTGCTCGGCATTGCCTGCCACTTCCTGGCATTGCTTGGCGTTGCCGTTGCTTGAAATTGCTTGGCATTGCTTGTCATTGCTTGGTGTGGCCTGGTATAGCCTGGCAATGCTCGGCATGGACTGATTGATATGTATTGGCATTGCTCGGCGTTGCCCGGCATTGCGTTGCGTTGCTTGGCGTTGCCTTGCAGTGCTTGAGAAACCAGAACCAAGGAACCCGAGGAAGGCATGCACGGAACAAGACCAACCAACTCTCGAGGAAGGCAGGCAAGAAACAAGACCAAGCAACCCGAGCAAGGCAGTCGAGGAACAATACCCAGCAACCCACGGAAGGCAATCAAGAAACGAGACCCAGCAACACGCGGAAGGCAGTCAAGAAGCAAGACCAGGCAACCCGAGGAAGGCTGGCCGGCGCAGGCCTGGCACCCACGGGATCTACAAACCAACTAGAACCCCCAGGCAAGCCGAAAAGAAGAAAACACTGCAGCGCAGTGGCGCTGAGGTAGGGGTTATCGTACGGCCGTCTGCTCGGGTGGCGAGATCAGCTTCTCATATTCGAAGGCGAACATCGGACGCGACGGGCGCGCGACGAGCGGAGGACAGCAGGCAAGCAGACCTCCTGGGCGTCTGAGGCCCGTCAGCAAGGGTTCCAGATGCCTCCAGCCCGACCCCCACCCCCTTCCCCTCCAGACTTCAGGCGGCCGCTCCTCCCAGAAAAGGAGAGAGAGAGAGAGAGAGAGAGAGAAACAACAGAAAAAGGACACCCGACGCGTCCTGCGGTGGTCTGCGGCGAGTCTGCGGCCTTTCCCAACCGCGCTCCAGCAGCGCGCAGCGGCCGAGACGGAGAAGAGGCGGCCAGCGATGAAGCGGTGAAGCGTCTCACGTCTCACCAGAAGGCTCTTCGGGACGAGATGCGGCACCCGAGCCGCCCGCCCCATCCTGCCCCTCCACATCCTGCCCCTCAGGCTCCCGCTTACCGCCCCGTTCCGCGCCCTCCCCGCCCAACGGCTCCCGAGCCGCCAAGGCAAGGAGACAGGGCGCCATCTCCCCACGCGCCCCTTCCGAGTGCTCAGAGGACGAGCGGACCAATAACACAGACTGTTGGCAGGTCTGCGCTGGAGCCCCCCTCCCCTCCCCCTCTCTCCTGATGGTGTCCCCTCGCTTCTCGTCTGCCCCCTGCTCCTTCCTTCTGGGGCGAGGCCAGCGAGAGCGAGCCCAGGCCAGCCCGGGCCTGCCCAGGCCTGCCCGGGCCAGCCCAGGCCAACCCAGGCCAGCAGAGGCCATCCGAGGCCAGCTCAGGCCAGCCCCGACCAGCCCAGGCCAGCCTGAGCCAGCCGCGACCAGTCCGGGCCAGCCGAGGCCAGCCCAGGCCAGTCGAGGCCAGCCATCTTTTTCTCCCTCCTCCCTCCTCCCTCCTCCCTCGTCCCCGTCCACTCCTCCGTCCAGACTCAGCCGCCTTCGCCCTCGCCCTGCCGTCTCCGGCTGCTTAGTGCGTCCTGGCCCCAAGGGGGTCAGGTAGGACTGAGGCCGCGGTGGTGGGTCGGGGGCGGGGGCTGGGAGCGGATCCGGATGGTCTCCACCACCCACGCTGGCAGACTGCGGTATGCCTTGCAAGGACTGGATGGCTGACCCCAGGGCGGATCCCTTTTACAGCTCCCTGTCCGCACTCACGTGCGCTCACTCGGGAAACCCTTGGTGCAAGGTGGGATGCCCTCCATCCCCTGCTTCCCCTGGAGATCGCCAGGGAGGTGGGGGGGCCCTCCTTCCACCAGAGCTGTTGTCCCCTGTGCGCGGATGTGGGAGCCGACTGAGGTCAGGCCGCGGCTGGTCCACCTCCCGGCTGCCCTCGGGGTGCTGTCCCTGCAGCCCTCAAAGAATGCCCACAGTGGCCACCAGCCAGCCCTGGCGCCCGAGGCGCCTTGACGACATCCGCGCGGCACTCCGACAATCCACGTTCTGCCACGACGGCGCCAAGGCCTGGGACCGCATCGGACGGGGCCCAGTCGGGGACCTCTGGAGGATGCATCGGGGCGCCGCGGCCGTTCCAGAGCGCCCACGGGGTGTAGCCCCGCCCCGTCTACGCCTGTGCCTCCTCTGCGCCGCTGCTCTCCGGCTCCAGGGGCGAGGGGGACGGGGCGCCTCGGCCTCGGGCCGCCGCGTGGGCAGCTCCTCCACGCCAGGGGCGGCGCCGGCCTGCGCGCGCGAGGCGCGCGCGGGCCCTGGGCTCCGACGTCTCGATGCACAACTCTTCGCTGCTTGAGGCCTCGAAGCAAGCGGCCCTTGCCGGGGAGCCGGGACTGCCAGAGAACGACTCAGGAGGAAGAGCGGGCCCAGGGGAGAAATTCCAGACCCGGGCCCGAGGAGCAACTCAGGACGTCGGGCCGGCCACGGCCAGGAGGGCCGTGATGTTCACGGCAGGCTTGTGCGTGACGACCCTTGCAAACTGCGCTGCTCTCCGATCGCCAGGTCGATCCATAGTCCCACATTGCCCAGCTCTGGCCGCATGGCTGCGTTCAGCCTTGCAGGCCCGCGGCGAGGTCGCTGGCGCGTCGGGGCGGCACGACACCCCTGCACCTCCCTCCCAGGGGGGGGGACTGGCCGCACGGACGACATCTCCCGAGAGGGGACGTCGGGGCCGACGTGGGTATACCCAAGGGGGGGGCAACGAAGGACCTGCGGCCGCCCGCCCCAGCTGTGGCTGGCCTCCCTGAAAGGGGGGGTCGCCCACCCCCCCTGCCTGAGGGGTGTCGCCTCTGACCTCGGGACGCTGGAAGCGATACCTCAAATGCCACAGCGTGCTGGCAGCCAGCTTTCGCTTCCCTCACTGCTTCCTGGCGGTCGCTCCTCCCCTCGAGGGGAGGGAGGGGTCCTCCCTGGAGGGGAGGGAGGGGGGGGGCGCTCGGCCTCGGGCCGCCGCGTGGGCAGCTCCTCCACGTGGACCGCGCCGGAGATGGCGCCAGCCTGAGCGCACGCGCGCGCACAGAGCGTGTCCGCACAAAGCATGGCGGCGGCGGTAGCGCGACCCAAATGAGGAGAAAGCGTCCTGAAGAGGTACGTAACTCAGCAAGGAAGGCATTGCTTTGCATTGCTTAGCTGGGCATTGCTTGGCCTGGCTACATTGCTTGGCATTGTGTTGCTTTTCTGTGCGTTGCTTTGCGCTCCTTGTCGTTGCTTGGCGTGGCATTGCTTCTTGCATTGCGCGACATTGCCTGCCACGTCCTGGCATTGCCTGGCATTGCTTGGCACTGCTTGGCGTTGCTTCTTATTGCTTGGCATGGCCTGGCACTGCTTGGCAAATGCCCTGGCATTGCTTGGCATCGCTTGGCCATTGCTTGTTGTTGCTCGTGCTGCAAGGCCCAGCAGCCCGCGGACGGCAACCCGAAGAAGGCCGGCCAGCGCAGCCCTGGCACCCACGGGCTCTTCAGAGCACGGGAGAGCCCCCCGAGGCAAGCCGAGCATGATCGACCCCCGAGCCCGGAGCGGGCCTGAGGGCTGCGAGGCATGGAACGGTCGCTAAGGACCTCAACTTCATACGCAACTGGGCGATGCCATGGGGGACATGCCAGGGGGACGCGCCGCGGAACGTCCCAAAGGACGCGTCAGGGGACGCGCCAGGGGACGTGCCATAGGGACGCACCACGGACCGTGCCAAGGTGGCGCGCTACGGAACGCGCCAATGGATGCGCCACGGGACGTGCGAAGGGACGCGCCGCGCGACGTGCCAGGGGGACTCGCCACGGGACGCGCCACGGAACGTGCCAGGGAACGTGCCAGGCGACGCGCCAAGGGACGTGCCAGGGAACGCGTCGGGGAACGTGCCACGGGACGTGACACGGGACGCGCCAGGCATCGCGCCGCGGATCACCAGGAGCCTCCTAGGATCTTCGCGCCCCATTATTAGTCGAGATTTCAAGGGCCACGCGATCCCTGGTAAAGTACGCTGCGTCCGCGCTCCCTGGGCCACGATCCATCGTAAATGTCGCTGGGCCCGCACTCCCAGCGCCACAATCACTAATAAGTGATGATGCTGCGTCCGCTGCCCCACGGCCACATTCCCTCGTAATTTACGCTGCGTCCGCGCTCCCAGTGCCACGACCCCATCGTAATTTCCACTGGGTACGCGCTCATTCCCTGTATACCGAAAGTACTCTGACAGTACGTCGGACACTCGTTGTACGCTGAATGTTTCCTGCACGCAAAACTGGAATTTCTCACTTGCTGAAGAATTTCATGAAGGGGCCCAAGGACACACAAACAAATAGGCACAAATAACAATATTGCCTATATGTTCTCGTATTTTCAGTGTTTTCGTCTTCCCCCCCACTTCCCATATTTTCCCGCATTTTCCTGGGAGTCGTCGATCAATTGTGTCTGTGTGTTTCTTTCCCTCCTGATTTCAGTGCCTCCAGACCTCATCACTCATTCTGCCCCGCACCCCTTTCTCATAGGGGGGAAACGTGTCTGCGGACCCCGTTCTTTATCGAGGATCCGAGATCGGGGGCATATTTTCCTCGAGCGGGCACGCGCGAATCGTTTTTTTTCTCAACAAACAATAGAAATCAGACTTCACCTCGCCATTTATCACAAATGATGCCGCTGGCCCGCTTCAAGTCGATTCCGGGGGAAAACAGCTAACAAAAACCCGGGGCCTCCGCCCTTTACGGGAATCACGGGAACAATGCAGCGCAGTGGCGCATGAAGGAGCAGCGGCTCGGCGCCATTGTAGGGGCCAGCGCACGGCCGTCTTCGCGCAGCGGCCGACACGGAGAAGAAGCGGCCAGCGACGAAGCAGTAAAGCGTCTCTCGGCAGCCGAGCCGCCCGCCCCGTCCGCCCTCCAGGTCCTGCCCCTCGGGCTCCCGCCCACCGCCCCGTTCCGCGCCCTCCCCGCCCAACGGCTCCCGAGCCGCCAAGGCCAGGAGGCAGGGCGCACTGCCGGGCATTGCTTGGCATTGTTTGGCCTTGCTTGTTGTTGCTAGGCAGGGCCTGCCGCGTGCGGGTTGCGGGCAGACGCGGCGTGCCCCGGCGCAGGGCCCCGAGCTCCGACGTCTCGGTGCGCCCACAGGCCACAACTCTTCGCTGCTGGAGGCCTCGAAGCAGGCGGCCCTTGCCGGGCGCCGGGACTGCCAGAGAACGACTCAGGAGGAAGAGCGGGCCCGGGGGAGAAGTTCCAGACCCGGGGAGCAACTCACGACGTGAACCGCCGCACGGACAATACCTCGCGAGAGAGGGGCGCCGAGGCCAATGTGGGTCCCCAGGGGGGGGCAAAGAAGGACCTGCGGCCGCCCCAGCTGTGGCTGGCCTCCCTGACAGGGGGATCGGGCCCTCCTTCCCAGGGGCGACCGGCGCTCCGGAGGCGTTTCGACTCTGACTTCGGTACGCGCAGCAGCAGCAGCAGCAGGAGAAAGCCAAGCAGCTGGCAGAGTCGAAAGTGAGCCTGGTAACTCAAATAGCATCCGATTCCATGATAGACATCGGATGGCAAATAGCGTCCATCGCTCTGCTGTGATAGTACAGTATGAGGGGTGGGCGGATAAGATAGGAAAAGGTCGATGTAATGATCTTTCCAGCACATAGCGAACACTCGCGGTGTCCGGGCAAATAGGGCGCGCGTGCCTTGGGCCAAAGGCAATGGCGCGCGCGAGCTATGCTCCCGATACTATAACATCTCCCAAAGACCTACCCTTAAAGTCGGGAGGGGAGGAGACGGAGAGCATAGTCGCGCGCAAAGGTCGCGCGCACGACTGTTTGCAAAAAGGAAAACGGTGCGTACAGTCTGGCCTTACACCAGACTGCAAGGCGAGTTTCCTCGCAAAGTATTTCACGCAAATACAATACAGCCCCTTCAAACAATGAAGGGCTATCGGCTCAGTTAGAGGTAAGCCAAACAGGCCATACCTCACCAAGCAAATGTGTATTAAGGCAAAGAGCCTGAGTTGTACGAAGCCGGCTCGTTGCCAGGCGTGAAATATAAGGCTCGTTTCCGAGCAACTAGAGGGGCGCCTTTATAGTAGGCGCCCGTGCTGGCAAATTGGACCGCGAGGGCAACAAGGACAGACTAAAATTGATTAGACTTAGGTTTGTCTCTGTCCTCGGGACCCCGAAAGGGAACAAATTGCTTCACGTCATACTTAAATGACTGAGTGCCTGACATCACTTCCAGAAGCAGCTCCCGATCGATGCTTCCCTTTGTATGCCCATCTGCGGTCATATCCCTAGTATCGCACCATTGCACATTATGTACTATACCTATATCCATGAGCTCACGTATCCAGCTGATATGTCCAAGCAGAGTCCGTTATGTAGGTATTTTGAGATCCCTGCTTGATAAAGATTTGTAGACGGACTCGGCGTCTATGGTAAGAGAGACTTTGATAGCTAGGCCTCCAACTTCACGCATGTCTCGTAGCTGTCGTGGAGTCAAAGCTCCTGCCTTAAGCTCATGGAGAGTAATGAGCGTAGGGTAACACTCATCAAGGTTATGTGCGGCTGCAAGTGCCTCCGCAGCATAACTGGACCTCACCTGTAATCGGTGTGATTTGCATAGTCCGTCACAGAGGTGAACGACGGACTTGCCTTGAGGCGAGTTTCCTCGCCGTAGTACATTGGCCCCGCGTATGCCGTAGCCCTTGGTCTCGTCATCCTCCTCCCCGGTAAGCTTCCGATACCCCGAATCGCTATGGATGTCAACTTCATTCGTCGGCTTCATCCGAGGGAAGGTGATGCGTTTCGGGCTGCTGATCAGCTTTCGCGTCACAGCATTCAAACGTCTGACTTGCAGATTGGTGGGCTCTTGAATTTTCTGAAGAGAGACCACGTATACCATGAGCCAGATTTGGGTGAGAAGGGCATAGGCGAGGGCCCCTCGCAGGCTGACGAACATGTCGGTAATGAGTTTTGTGGCTTTGGCATCGGCCGCCGCTCCTGTAAGTTCTGGGTGTGTGATAGGACGTAGTTGTTTGATATACTCGTCCTGGTCCATGATCACATCTCCTTGATCATTCTTAGTGTAGCGAACGGCGCAGTTCGTATATGTGTGCTTGTTGAGCTTGCATTTGCCAAACACCTTTTCGACACGTTGTACATAGTCGTCTATATTTTTTCTCTAGACCTGTCATGTTAATATCATCGACATGTTTTGCCGTCAGAAGGTCTTGGCTGAATTCAAATTCAGGATCGTAGCTGGTCGGTGCCAGTCCTATAGCTCGTGTGGTCGCACGAAGTTTGAGAGAGAACGCTCTTGGAACGTCCTTTGTACCCGTTCCTGGTTTGAGGCATCTAAGACAGTGTCGACTTTCGTCGTAGGATGAGAAGCCGGGTAATGTACGAAGTACCTGAGCACTTCCTGGTGGAAGAGTAAAGCAAACCATGCGAGTTTCCTCGCCGGTGGCATGGGCAAGTTCCTCATAGGTCAAACCCTTGAGGAACGCCTTATCGATATCCATGGATGCTAAGATCCACTCTGGATGGCATGCCGCTTCACTTGCCAGGAGTCGTTGGGACTGCCTTCGGGCGGTTCCCGAGAATGTTTCCACATCAAAAGCCTCAGTATCCATAAATCCACGAAGGACCAGTCTGAGACGAATGGTTTTAACGTTCTCGGTACCCATCTTTACGAACTTCCACTTGTATACATACCTGGATGTCATGATGTTGGAAGCTTTGGATAAATCATACATCTCAAAGCATCGGTTATCAATCCAGATTTTGAGCTCAGTATACAAAGCTTCACTAACCTCCTTTGGATGTGCTGCTATGTCGGCTTTGGTCAGTAGATCATCTTCTTTGACAACCACAGCACGTTTAGCAGCAGAGGATACATATACTCTCATCGTTGCGACCATATCGGTATCGAGCTGTGCAAGTTGAGTCTGATCCAACACTATTTTTGACATTTCTGATGTAAAGCATAATTCAACGTAAGGACCATATTCATCCCTGTCAAGAGAGTAGCTCTCGTCAG